TGGATGATGGACCTCCATATCCATGGGACAGAGCATTATATAATGCATTATAGATGATATTAATATTATTTGAGATACTATCTGTAATATATTTCAGACAATATTAATGGCCATGTAAAAGAACCCATGTTTGCCATAAATACCCTATTTATTCAGAACATCAAATTCTAAATATGCATTATTTAATTTAGTACATTTATCTGAGTATTTCCAATTGTTTCTCTATCATCTGTCTAGAAAATTCAGAACGCTTTATCAGTTTCCACAAAGTGACTAAAAATAATTCTTCTTAGAATCATGTCAACAAATAAAATGGAGTTCAAAACAAGCTTATTAATATTCTGTCCTCCTAGTTCAGAGGCAGAAAAGCAAAAAACATTTCTTCCAAACAGTAGGTATTCAATAAATCATTGATGTAAAACAAATGAATATAAAAGAATAATTTTTTAAAAAAGAAGGCATGATCCCAACTGCAGTATAATATAAAACCAGCTAGGAAAAAAAATCCCAACTTTAATCCAGAACACAACATCAGAGTATAAACACAAATTCTCCTAAGTTTATTTATGGGAACAAACTCCCTATGGAATAGGGCCACTGAGGGAAAGTGGACCCTGGAGAGATCCATGACCAGGTAGGGCCTGAGTGGGTCACTGCTCATGGAAAGGAGCTCTGTACACACTTCCCAGGTGAGCTGCCCAATCGTCCTCTGAACCGATGACCTGTGGAAACAAAAGCAGAGCAAGCTGCACAGGAGGGCTGCTGCACTGTCCCACCAGGAGCTTCTTCTTGGAGCTGGGCAAGGAGGTCCAAAAGTCCTCTCCAGTGTCTCAGCATCAGTCCTGAACAGACAAGTACAACAGGACTAATCTGAATTAGTCAGCTGAGCAGTCAGTCAGCACTGCTGGGAGGGGAAAGGGATGCTTTCAATACAAAACTGAATCTATTTCTCTGCCCGGGGAAAATTTCTTCCTGTGGGGTCTTTTTCTCTTGCTTAATCTCTGCTGACACTGGCCACTTCTCTGCAGCCCATTTCCTGACCTCCTCATTCCCTCCAAAGGAGAACCTCAGAAAGGAGGTCCTCAGAAAGGAGCTCAGGACAGAAGCTCCTCTCCATGCCTTACAGTGAAGCACTCAGCCCACCTCCTCAGGTCACATGACCGCCCTTGGTGCAGAAACCAGACGAGCACAGGTGGACTCCAGAAACCCAAGAATTCAGTCCAAAGTAAGACACCCCAGCCTCCCTAGCGCTAACTGGAGCCTGGACACAGGCCTGGAGTCAGGCAGCCTGCTTCCTGTTCAGAGTCTCCAATCGCCTCATCTAGGGAGCAGACTGTAAGTCACCTCTGCTCTGAGCTGCCCATTCATGAAACACAGGAGCCAGCACTTCCTATAGTTCAGGTCTAACGGTTTTAATCCCTGCAGTCACTTTCTTTTCCCTCTGAAGAAAACAACACTACATACATATACCTCCTCTTCCACCTTCACCCTCCACCACACTGTAGGCTGATCACTTCCTCTCAGGTGTCTTCAGATAAATTCAATTTTGTAAACAGATCAAAACAGGGTCATGAACCCAGCTGATAGGAATCGTGATGCAGAGCGATTTATTTTTCACTTTCATAGCTGCTGGAAAGACAATCACTGGTCTAGCAAGCACCCAATGTGCCAAGGTGCTGTGCTGAGCAGATCAGCTGTGACTTCACTGAATCCTAGCAGCCTGGTCCCTGCCATACCTTCAGTCACCACGCTGGGGACCTGCTGCTCCCTGGAGCCAGGGCCCTGCTGTGCTGCACCAGCCAGACCTTTTCTCCAGAGAGCTACACTCCAGGCAGATGTGTGCAGTTTATTAGCAAGTGTCCATGCTAGAATGGATCTTACAAGATGTAAAAGTCACCTAGTTGGAGTCTTTATAAGCCATGACATGTGAATGCCAGATTTATTCACTATGCTTCACTGAAATTACTATGTTCACGACACTGTATGCATTCTAGAAGGTGTTTTAGCTCCTTGGAGAGAAAATAGATCATGCCCCCAAGACATTGGCCTCCATCAGAGCAGCAAAGCCACAAGTTCCAAGAAAGTTCAGACTCCAGCTGCGTTCTCCCTGGTAGGAAACCACCTGTGCATTCTGTACACATCAGGATGTAATAGCCTCATACCCTGTGAGTGTCTACACAATCCCCACAGCCTACTTCAAAAGCCCACACCAGTAATATGCTAAGTGTTTTCAGGCAGGGAGCACAAGAAATCTAATACTAATTTTAATACTAATTACTCCTTCCTTTCAAGGCAGAAGCCGCTGTTTTCAGTCTCGGCCAATTTTAGCAACTGACCACTTTAGAAATCATTATTGCAAAACACAGCTTTACGGATGACAGTTGTTCTTAATGACTCATCTCCAGCTGCACAGACCTCTGAAGATGGCAAATGGGAGCAAAAGAAAGGTGGAGACCAAGAGTCTAATGAAGATCTGGCATCCAGGATGTCACGTTGCCTCTAATTTAAATTTCCCCTTAGATAATTCTAAGCTGACAATGAAATTGTATGTGCGTGATTAGAAATATATAACTTAAAATTCATATAACTTCCTTGCTTTCCTTTCAGTCTAATGGAACAGTTCATAATCTTAAAAAAAAAAACTCAGAGTCTAACATGAAATTAAAATAGCCCAATAAAATGACTCTTAAAACGGGCATATCTGATTTCTCAAGGTATCTTTACTTTCCTGGCACCATACTGGTCCACATGGCATATGTGAGACCTTCTAGGATGACAAGGCCATCACCTAAGGAATCTTCATGCTGGGTGCTCTTTCATCGATAAAAACAAACTGTGTGCATTAACTAAAGAATGGAGGCTAACAGCACACTGCGGCTTTGTTCCGTGCTTTCATTTACAGCAGCTTTACCCCTAACTGCCAAAACCTGGAAGTAACAAAGAGGCCCTTCAGTACTGAATGGATCCACAGACACAGAACACCATGCAGCACTTCAAACGAAGTGAGCTATCCAGCCATGAAACACACAGAGGAGCCTCACACACGGTGATGTGGAAGAACCAATGAGCAAAGGCCTTGTGCCATGTAATCCCACCTCTCTGAAAGGATGACAAAGCAAAGCTATGGAGAAAAAGAAAATATCACAGGTTAAGGGTTCAGGCTGAGACTGAGAGAGACAATAGGTGAAGCACAACAGACTGTTTAAAAACACTGAAACCATGTTCTGATTCTGTAAAATGCTGTGGGAAATAAGAGGCTCTCCACCAAGGGGGCTTCTGGCCCTCACCTCTGCCTCCAAAAGCAGTGTGGCTAGGGACCTCAGGTTCTCTCCCTCCCTCTCCTTAAGTCCAAGCTTGCTCTCCCCAGGGCAACAACCTCTGTGTCTCTGAAGGAATTTCATCCATAAACTACCTCTGAGACTATTACGATCCCTTCAAGTTATCATCGAGTAAATCATCCTACAGAAGACACTAACCGCTCTTTCTCCTTTCTGGAGACTCTGTCTGAACCCACTGAAGTTGCCACCTGACTGCGCACCCTGTCGGGGGCCATGAGAGATGGTGAGGCCTCTCTGCCACCTGCCCACATGCACAGCGCCAGTCCACAGCCAAGGGACACATGGCACCCCCCTCACGGGCAAGGGGGAACCATTGATTTTACTGAGTAGTCACCAGGCAGCAGGCTCTGGTTGAACACTTACTGTATCGTTTTAAAGGATTTTCACAAAACTCTAGGAAAGAAGTGCCAAGGGCATCTCCAGTTAGAGGCTAAAGAAACTGCAGTCTTGCAGCCTAAGTCACTTCATCCAGCCCAAGCCAGATGCGGCCACATGCACAGCATTCTGCGGGGGACTGACACAACTCCCTCCAGACTGGGCCACTTCTGAGTCACGGTGCGGACCATGTGGAGAACTATACAGAAGGATGGATGAGATATATATCCAACCTTAAGCACTTCAGAACTGGTGCTTAAGTCTGAAGGCACAGTGAGAATTTCCTCTCAGTATTTATAAACACATATTCTAACTCATGTAATATTATCGTTCTACAGTCTGTATACCTGTTTCCTTAAAAATCCCAAACAACCACATTTCTTCCAAAGCATTTGCAAACATCACATAGGAACTGATTTTAATACATCAGCAGTAAAAGAAAAATACCAAGTTGATAAGTAACTGATGCAGTACAATTCTTTTCACTAAAAAAAAAAAAATCAGAATTCTATTTTCTACAAAACTATCAATGATCCTATTGCAAAACATGGGCCATTTCTATCATGTATTATTTTGGAAATACCTACTTAACTATCTACCCCGCAAATTCCCAAATTAATTAGAAAATCATCATGACTTTTTCACACATTCTTCTAAAAATCTCATTTTTAAAATATTGATATTTTATATTATATAATTAGCTTCCCTCCAATAGCTTTCAATAGAAAGAATCATGCACAATCGGTTATTCACCCTATATCTGTTTAAGGGAATGTGTTCTAAATACTTATATCTGTCCATCTCATTAAACTATGAAATATCCAGGAAGATTATTAATCTTAGCAACAAAAACATTAAAGTTTTTTGAGGAATTGTACAGTGAGTTGGCCAGAAACCAAGTTAGAATACAAAGGCTGACTTTTAACACAGCTTTAATATTAATATTTTTCTAACAGAAATGCACCTATCCCCTCCAAATTTTACCAATAATCAATGTTAGCAAGTAATCAGACACTGCTGTGTTCCACAGAAGCAATTTAAGAGAAGAGTACAACCGTCATCCTTAGCCAAAATTATAAAAATATCTCTAGCTTAAAAGGACTCTGATTTGTAACAACAAATGCATTCCAATCAAAGTACTCCAAAAATAAGAGTATGTGTGACAGTATCTAAATTGCTGAAATCATTTTTTTTTTTTATCAGTACCAGGGATCAAACTCACGACCACGCACTTGCAAGGCAGGCGCTTATGCCACTGAGCTAAATCCCCAGCCCTGAAATCATTAATTTTTATTTGGCTTTTAGCTAGATTTTCTTTTATGTGAGGGAAATAGTACTAAGCAACAGGTAGATGCTATATCTTCTTAAACTAATAATAAAGTAGCACTTCAGACTGTCAGGCCTAGGAGAACCTTAATCATTGCTTAATTTAACCTTCTCATTCTACAAAGAGGAAAAGGAGACAATGGCAGGTAAGCACTGTGCTCCAGAGGAGGCTAGGAGCCTCCTCACACCCGAGCCACAGTGCAGTGTTGCCTGATTCACTTGGTTTTACTTTGTTTCCTGAGATTATAGCATGCTCTGCAATGCTCAAGTGACTTTTAGTAAAAATTAGAAAACTGCAAATCAGGCTGATGCTAACCATAACTATGCACCTGACTAGCTACTCCCAGTTTGTGGGCCAGAAACTTCGCTGAGAAGAAAACATCTTGGTCACTAACAGTTATGCCTAAGCTTGACTCTATCCACACACAGTAGGGCTCAGAGGAACCCAAAGGAAGGGAGTGCAAAACAATGAACCCACAGAGGAGACAGGGCTGAGAAAGCACCACCTCATCCTCAGTAGACCAACTTAATTCACTTAATGGTGCAGGACGAACCATAACCATGTGTGTGTGTTTGTGTGTGTGGACTTAATTCCATATTCTGAGGGATATTTTCATGTTAGTCACTCTTGTCAAGAAAACACCCAGAGCAAACATAGGCAACAAGGCAGCAATAGCCATGGCATAGGATGTGGGAATATGTGATCTTTCTTCCACATCAGAAAACCTTCAACAGGAAAATGCATGAAAATCGCCCAGTGTGCCTTCCCCCTGGGTGAACATCACAATCTCTTAAGAGCCCACACTAAGCACATGCCTCAGCCCCACCCCAGGGCAGTTAATTCAGCATTTCCAAGAGTGAGACTCAGGAATCAGTGTCATTCTGTGTCTGCTACTGCATATAATGGCTACAACTCATACAATCAACAGTAACAAGACATCCCTAAATACTTTCATAGAGGGTAATATGGCAGGGGCTTTGGAGAATGACAGAGAAGATGTGTTTCTCACTGACGAGGAAGGGAACTTCTTAAAATCCTGGGTTCTTTTCCATTATCTACATTTTTACTTCACTATCAATCAGAGATTTCCAGATTTTTATTTTTGCTATCATTAATGGCAAAACACCTACAGAGATCTCATACATACAAACCACAGGGCCCCCTGCTCATCACCACAAGCCTCTCTGCCAGAATTCATTCATAAAATGTCAGCTTCTTTCTTCAAACAGGAAAAAAATCCATTTGATCACATTATCATCTACCCCACATCAACTTCATTTTATATTTATATCCACTACCACACAAGTTTTGTGCAAGTCAATCAGAAATCCAGGAATATTATGAAAACTGTCTTCTCCACACTTTACCAAATTAAAAGGTCAGGTCAGTTAGGTGGGCACAAAAGTTCTTAAGCAACAGACAAAAGCTACGGGCGCCATCTCCATCCAACACTGTCTTCACACAGACTGTTTTACCACACTGGTACTCACAGGAATTGGCAATTGTGCTGGGATAGTTAACCGTGTCAATTAAGTAGGAAACTCCAGACTAAACTAGATCAGCATAGTTCTAGACGTGGCTGAGGATTCACCCTAGAAAGGTTTGCTGCTTGACGGGGAAATGAAGGAGAAAAGAGAAATGAAGAAGGAAGGCGGGCTTCAGCTTTTTCGGAGGAGCTCCAATCTTCCTCTCACCTGGACATCGTCTCCTGGCTTCTGATGCAGACCCTTCAGCCTCCTGGTAGGACTTGCACGGGACACTGCACTGAGCTCCAGACCTTCAACTGGATCTTTCGAATCTTCAGCTCGCCGCAGACAGACCTCTTGTATTCTTCCACACCTGACTCTGCGGGAGGCCACTGTACACTAATCTGGCAAGTTCTTATAGGTTTGTACATCTCACATTAACTGTGTCTCTAGTAAGCACTGACTACGTATGTGCCCTTATACATAAACATCTCAACAAGGAGAAAAATACACCTTCACAGAAATGACTTCACTCTCATCATATGTCAAATAAAGCTTAAATCCTCTCCATATCTTTGTGGCTCTACAATGAAGTTTCTCAAAAGAGGGACTGTTTCTCTCTATATCTTTTTTTGTAATGAATCAGCACTTGATAATAAATGAGAAACTACTGTAGTTCACTATTGCTTCTGAATTGTTAAAATTTTTAGTTTGAAAAGGAACTTTCTTTACTAACCATTAATGTAAAAACTGAAATGACCACTGAGGCACCTGAAGGAAGAAATACCAATCTGATCACAAATGCTCTTTGTGAACTAGTTTTGGAAAGCAGCAGGCAATCATCACAGAACGTACAGAAATGCACAGTACAGCAGCACACAGAGAACCCAGGCCCTGGTGCTGATGCCGCATGTCCGCTTCAGTGCTGGGTCCACCTGCCCAGGCCTTAGGCCAGCAGCCAGGGGCCACATACCACAGAAGCCAGAGAGGACAGTGCCCAGGTGACCGCTGAGGGAAAGGGACAGGAGCCACCCAAGGTCCCGGCAACACGCAGGCAATGAGCAGATCCTGCAGGGGTGGATGGCAAGGGCAGGTCCCATGTACTCTCCTGACCTTTCCAACTGGCAATTCACTAACAATTCTGTCTGAGCTGGAGGTGGCCTTCATTTCCAACATACTTGATTGTAAAAGGACAATTTACAAAACGAACCAACATACATGTTTCCCATAGTTAGGACTCCACTGAACTGGTATTTTCTTGTGGGCTGTGATGCATTATGCACACACAGCAATGTGTTATCATCTGCTCTTTCAAGATACTCCAGGGAATAATCGGGAGGTGTCCCTGTCAGTTCCAGCCGCACTGTGAAGGACAGTCAGATCCTTCTCGCACATGCAGGCCATGAACAAACAGCGGCCCTGTGAGGGACAGGAACCCAGAGTGTAGAAGCTGGAGGCGAATCACTTGGATCAGTGTCAACAGAGTTTTTGTTCATTTGCCTCTCTCTGTGTCAATATTTTGAAAGAGACAATGCCTCAAACATACAAATGGCTAAATTCCAAAGCCAAATGATAAACCAACTAAAAAACCAGACACGAAAAATGATAGATACAGCACTGCCTCAAACCAGAGGCATCCCATTCGAAGAGCTGTAAGTCTGTACTCACAGGGAACCGTCTGATGGTGCTGTGGTCACCGGTGCCAAACTGAAGAAAGCCTAAACGTGCTGCATGCGACGCAAGTGAAGCAAAGAGGAAAGAGCGCTGACGAGTGTTCTACTGAGCGACACCCCCAGCCGCTGCTCAGGGGTCCACTACGCTTTCTAACGTGCGTCTGCAGCATCCATCGTGGGAAGCAGATCCAATCGGCACCTGCAGCTGCACTGCCTGTAGACACCTCGTACAGATGAAGACAAAGCCAAGCAACTGCACCCCTCTCGACAGGCGTGTGGGAGTTACAGCTAACCAGTGCAGCCTTGTCTGATGCCCTGCCCCTGCCCACTAACTCCACTGCCCACTCCTCACCCACCAGTGCCCATAAGCTTACTTCTTCCCTGCACTGTCCAAATGCCCAGCACCTCTGCAGAATAACAAGGAAAGTGATAGTCACACTTATCCCTGCTTTCATGATGTCACTGTGCCACTGTAACTATAAACAGTAAGCACAGCTATAAACTAAATGTACTTTAAATGATGTTATTCAGTTCAAACACAGTCCTGGCCATGTGACCACCAAGGACCTGAAAATGAAAAGGAGCCCACAGTGACACTGGTCAGGGGACTCCAGCTCAGACCCCAGGGATAAGGAGAGAAGGCACAGTGAGGGAACCCAAGGAGGCAGTGAAGTCAGACTGTGCCGAGCGCGCAGGGGTGGGCTCAGACAGTGTTCTCTCAAAGGTGACTACAAAGGTAACTGTCACTCTAATCCCTTTATATGTTTTCAATTTCCACCTTTATACATCTTGAGAGTAAGAATTGAAGTTTCTTTTTTTATTTCCCCCCAATTTTTAACACAGTGTCTGGCAGATATTAAAAAGAGGAGGACTAAATCTAAGGTACCCTAACTAGGTTAATAAATATCAAAGCAGTTAAGGTGGGGCCTGACACACAGGAAACATCCCATAAGCATTAGTGAGTTTACCACCTCCTCAAACACTAAAGTGCTATGAGGCTGGGGTAGTTCCTATCACTATTCACATCGCTACAGAAAACAACTTATAACCTAGGTTTTAATGAGAAAATAGCAGAAAATCACTACATGTGTACAACAAAAATAATGATCACAAACAAAGGTGTTCTGATTCTCAGGGGGAGGATGGTAGGACCACAACATTTCCTAACATAACAATGAGTAAAAAACAATAGGAGAAAATTCCCCTAGGGAGAAACTGGAGGACACTTTCAGACACCAGGCCCTTCTCATCCTAATCATCCAGGGTTTCCACGTGCAGCACCATGCTAAGTACAAGGTTTCTGACGGTTCCTGCAGGTTACAGGTTTCCAAGCAGTGAGAAAGTGCTGTCTTGAACACAGAATGCTAATATCCAACAGTAAGAAACACACATAATCGACAATACACTTACAAATAATCATAAATCACTATCCTCCACAGAAAAAAATTACTACTCTAATTTACGATATGTATTAATAAAGTCCTAAAATGGCCATAAGCATTGTGATTACCTCTACAGAAATTCCCATCTAACCTTCAATGCGATCTTACAAAAAAAAATTACAATTATCACCCCATTTATAGATGTGAAAACTTCAGCTGCCACCAAGGTCCAGGCGACCAACAGGCTAGAGAAGCACCGAGCTATCTCCAGCGGCCACGGCGGTGCTACTGTGTCTTCCCAGAGCATGGAAGAGGAAGGACCCTCGGCCGGCCACAGAACGCCGCTGCACTCTCACACAAACCTGCCTGTCTAACAAGGAAGGGTGCCGCAGTTTTACTCAGGTAGACATTTCAAATCTACCCAGCTCCACGAGTTTTCATGGATTAGAAAGTAAACCCAATTTTTAAAATCTCAGCTGTATATATTATATAAATCTTCATTACTAAATAAAATTATTTGGGAGTGTGTTTTGAGTACTGATAGTATTTTATTAGACTACAACTGTTTATCTGTCAATATGATTCTAAAAGAAAACAACATATGTAAAATGTAATTTTTTTCAGCTAATTTCTGTCTTGGAACTTGATATTAACTTATATTATCTCTGAAAAAAAAGGAATTTATTTTTGATACTACCAAAAATGAATTTCAGACTGACAAAATTACTTAAAATGTTAAATATATTGAACCCAAGATGAGATTTTCAGGGTATAGGGATTTATACTTTAGTTTATATGCTGGTATTTATTCTACTATTAAAATACATACCATTATATTGTTGACTTACATAAGAGGATTTTTAATATTTTCACATTTTTGGTTGAAATGAGTAATTTGCTCTTTCACAACATACTTACTAGCTTGGGTTAAAATACATACAGAGAAAATTTTTCAAATTCTCATTACTGTTTTCAAAGCAAAGGGCAAAACATATCACTCCTTTTATACAAAAATGGTCACATGCAATTGGCTCTTAACAGAGGGATCTAAGAACAGAAGGAAAATTCAGCCAAGTCTCAGGGACGACACCCTAATTTACCACCCTTACTAAAACCTTACTAAAAGGTTACTCATGGTGGCACCCAGGGGCCAGCAGGCCCTCAGCAACCCGGGAGATTCCGACTTCTCGGTTTTTCCTCTGACGCTGGAGCACTAGGACCACAGGAAGAGAAACAACACAATACCAACTTCAGCTACAAGTGTCCTGGACTGACCAGCTGCAAGTCTGAAGGGAAACACAGCAATGCTGAACTCAACCACTTGTGAACGGAAGACAACAGAAGTGCACCCTCACCTGGCCCTAGACTTAGAAGAATGGGAGGAAGACCCAGGTGCCTTTCTAACCCAGCAGCCTATCACTTACACTGCAGACTCACAGGAAAGTTCACATTCTACGGTAAGACATGCTTCTATGACTTGTAGGCACTCAAGGCCCAGACCCACTTGTTTTCCTCTTGCTACATGAGCCAGCACCACAAGAAGTGGACAGCTTCTTGCTCCAAAGGAAGAGCCGTCCCTTCCCCGTGGCCAGAGATGCAGCCAACCCACAAACTAGGGCCAAAGACACGAGATGAGTTAAACACATGCACACACAAACACAAGCAAAGTGCAAAGAAACGTCACTGACACAACTTATCTTTTAAAAAAATTATAATACATTATTTTAGCCATTCTTAATAATTATAATAGGATAATTATTAATAACTGGGAACAATGTGACTTTCCTTTGTACTAATTAGGCCTGATTTGCTTAAAAAAGGATTCCCTGACACCCCATCTCACACGCCTGCAGTTTAACTGACATCTTTCAGCTATTCTGTAGATGGGTCCTTCACTAACCATCCCTACATGTGAACAGGATGACTCTGATACTGGCTTTCAAGTGCATCTCCTCCGTTATAGGATTTCTAGTTCTGGCAATTATGTAATTATGTACTTAACACTGTGCACCACCCATTACTGAATAGCTTCCACCTACTTGGTCTGTCACACATGTAGTTATACAATCCCATGCCTATCTTATAAAGTACTGGGCACCATCTTATATTTAAAGACATTACGGAGAACTGTAAGTCATTAAAAAAAAATGGTAACTAAATGGCAGTCACATTTTGAATCAAAATCTGCTAACACTCAAAGCCTGGACAACTTCCAGGGATGTAATCCACAGATGTGGGGCACAAGGGCGCCATCTGGACGACCCCTTCCAAAACAAAAGTGGGTGGGGACTCAGTGCAAAGACCCTTGGTTCAACCCCCCGTTCCACAAAAGTACACATACACACACCCCTGTAGGATCAATTACAGGATAAGCTGACCGCATCAAGCTCACAGATCTAGTCACCAAATGGAAACTCATCCCAGAGGAGTGTCTTCACCGCAACTGCCGAGCATCTCTGAGGTTCACGAAGCCACCCCTGCCCATTCTGACAAGCTGGAACCCAACCCCAAGTCCCATAGCTGCTTCTCTGTGCCTCAGTTTCTCCCTCGTGTAACTTGCATCCTAGCGCGCCTCATAAGGTTATGTTCATCTGTTGTGAAATCTTGAAGTGGGACCTGGCAAGGAGTAAGGAACAGGTAAATGTTTGTTACACAAAGCTCCACTTCCTGTGTGGACCGCAGCACATCTGTTAAATGACAGCACATCTACTTTGTTTATAGAAAAAGCACACCTGGTAACCCAAGTGCTTTTCATCATTTCCTCAGGGCAAGGCTGAAAGCGAAAGGGCCAGACACACTAAGCCATGCTCCGGAGCCGGAGGAGTCGCCCACAGAATCAGACAGGCAGAGGTGAGGCTCAGCGTGCTGCAGAGGTCCAGGTCCTCCAGCCTGCAGGACCCAGGAGGAAGACTTGGAACTCAAAATCAGCCATGTTCAAAGTAGATGCATTTCACAGGTTTGCACTGTGATCATCCAACTGATCCTCGATACATTTAATCATAGTGTATTTTAAGGTTTCAAAACACGAATTGGTATTACACGTCACTTTCTGTCACTTCCCAACACCTGCATAAGGGTTTCTATTACCACTGACTGAAAGGCCACGTTTTCACTCAGCCTCTGTAAACAGGGAAACACAATTAAATCAGTTATTTTTTTATTAAGACAGCTCACACTGAAGATGCCCAACACCAATGTAAGTACTTTTATTTAGCCTCTTTTCAAAATAAGCTTCAGTATGTAAGATATCCCTCAGATCAGAATGAAGTGGCATGGAAGAATTCTTTCAGAAGAATGGCTGAAGTGATCTGAGAACAACATGGTCAACGTTCTAGACTAAAATGAAAGCACAAGACAGTAAGTGGGTCCAAGAATCAATAGCACTGGCTATTGACCGGCTCTGACTACTGAAACTAATTTTCATGTAAACAAATTCAATATCCCTCCCAAAAAAACTGACAAAAACTTTCAGAGTAACTCTTTAAATTACACTGCAAAACCAAAAATAAAATAAACTGTGCAGTGCACAGGAAAGGAAATGGAGAAGGTGGAAAAATGCGTTTGGGTCTCCACTTGCTTTCCAGGCTGGAGTCAATCAGTATCAAAGGACGTTGCAGTCATTACTCCATCATTTCCTAAATTAATGAACCTTCAGTTATTACACTGCAACTAACCAGATCAAATGTTTATCAAATTGCTTAGCAATCTAGGGAAAAAGATTCTCCATAAAGAATACTAAAGAGCTTTATATTCGGATTTCCCAACTTCTTATTCCAGAATGAATTTTATACATACAGTGTACCCCCTACTTTTTTCTTTCAATCTTTCCTTCAGTGTATTACACAGTGACAAAAAAGCCATGCATTCTATAAAAAGAGTATATGATGCACTTACTTTGGGAAGAGGTGTGGCTGCCCACAGACCACAAGTCCTGCTCAGTGTGAGTGAATTAACCTAGCACAGGAGGTCCCTGCCTCTGCCCAGCACCTCAAAACAGAAAGCAGGCCAGCAAACAAGTCCTTCCTACAAACCTCGTCTGTATTACTCATTTATAAAATTCCAATAATCAAGCTAACACAAAGTTCCACTTAAGAGTATTACAAACCTATCAGGTACTTTAGTATAAGCCAAGTCATTTTAGGCAATGGGATGATTTATACAAGGTAGTTAATATCTCATTTACTCCCTAACCATGGGTATTTGAATGCTCACACTTCCAGCAGTCCTGCTCAGGGACTGGGCTCCAAAGGTTAATAACAGCTCAGGGCTCCAGGCTTCTGTCTGATCTGCTCCTCTGCTACTGTCCCTCACAGCTTGCCTTGGTCACTTTCCTCAGGACACCTTTCTGACCTCTCCAGCACTTTTCTTTTTGGGGACAGTCTGTGCCTTGAGTCAATCCTGAAGAAGCAGGTGGGTGATCCCAGAAATCATTAGACATCAGTTTCTCCTATTATTTCCACCTGAGTTGGGCATGGCGGTGCACACCTGTAATCCTAGCACACAAGAGGCTGAAGCAGGAGGATGGTCATGAGTTTGAGGCCAGCCTGGGCGACATAAGGCCATCCTGTACTACATCGAGACTCTATCTCAAAAAAAAAAAGAAAAAATAAAATAAAATAAAATAAATAAAAAACACTTGAAACTTACAGGAGAAAAGCAGCAAACCAATTTCAGTATGTTTGCACTTAGTATTTTAGAAAGTAAAACTAAAGAACTAACATTCTAAAACATAACCTAGAAATTAGAAAACTAAGTTATTTTGATCAAACATTCAAAATTATAAAATACTCTGCAAATGAAAATCCACATTCTGTTTCCTTTGTCTTTCCATATTCTTCACCAGTCATGTTAGAAAGGGAGATCATGTTGTATCTTAACAACCTGGTACTGAAGTTAGGAGAAATGGCCGTGTTAACCGCGAGGGGACAACACCTCCAGCTGAGGCCCCTCAGCAGGGCATGCCCTGAAACCTCCAGGACCCCTGCAAGGACAAGGGAGCACAGCTGAGTGCAGAGGTACTGCTAACCCACACAGCCTACATGCAGGTATCAAATTTCATTAAATGGGGACAATACTAATCTTTTTTCTGAGATTAACCTTTGAAAAAAAAGTTTCAGTCTTTATTTCAAATTTCCCTTATGTTTTCTAAACCTTTCCATTGAATTTTATCAGCATTATCATACATTTTTTATATATCAGTTTTACTTATTAGTTTCTCCTTGTTTGTCTGAGTTTATTGTTTACAAAGTACTATGACATACATTTTCACCAGGTGCCAATATTTATCATATATCGACTGCCTATCAGGAAATAGGGTTTGCGCTTGAGGAATTTTAAATATATATGCGATGCTGCTGCAATACTACTAGCTGAAGTCCTGAGTCTGTATTTGTGCTGTGCATTCCACAGCTTTCATCCGGTGCGAACAGACATCTGCTCACCACAACAGGGAGTACCGTGCGTAGCAGTTCTGCCATTCTAGGAGCCAGTGTGCCCCACCGACCCATTCCCAAGCTCTCAGCTCCCCACGCCTGCCCAGCCACCCTTCCCACCCTACAGATCCTACACCACCTATCTTTGCAGAAAACCTTCTCCAGGCCATCACACAGTTGGAGTCACAGACTAGGTAATAAGCGCTTCAGGTCTGTTTCCTTCACCAGCATTAGGCAGCTAAATTTTCTCTGCCACTTTGCATGGCTTGATGGCTCACTGGGTTAATATTCCGTCATACAGATACACTGATTTGTTCTTCCAGTCACTTACTGAAGGACACCTTAGCTGTATCTAAACTTTGGTAATTATAAATAAAGCCCCTATAAACATTCATGTGCAGGGTTTTGTATAGATCTAAAGTTTCCAGTTCATTTGGGCAAATATTAAGCACAGTTTATTGTTAAATTTTTTCTAATTTGAGAAAACGCTTCTTTTGCATTTAGTTAACATTCGGATAACTTGGCAAGCTAGAATTTCTAAGTGTTCTCTCTCCTCAAGGACCTGTCAATTACCTGGAATAGTGGGTACACACTCAGTTCACACACACATACAATTCCTGGTAGACCAAAAGACAAAGAAGAGGCAGCATTTCTACAGGGAGACACACACAACCTTACAAATATGCTCACCCAACATTCAATGGATTGGTGAGTACGCTGGTTCCCTCTGGGCCAAGCCAAGGAAACACTATTTAAAGTGTCCACAGTGGAAGACGCTGGCACAGCCAGGCTGTCTCTTGTTTCTGCCTGTTGGTGATTTAAAAGGTTCAGAATCCTGTCTGCATCAGTGTCTGACAAAGTTCTCCCTAAACACAGATTTCCAGGGAAACCAAAGCAAGGACCCATTAAACTAAAACACTCTTTGTACCACAGGCATGCAAGTCCTTTTCCTAATCTTCCTCAGATCATCTTGATTTTTCTTAAACCCTATAGAAATCCAGGTATCCTCCCCAAAGACAAAGCTAAACCAGCCAATGTATAAAATTCTACTTGTTTTATATGGAGACGGACTTACTTCCTCGTTATAGCAGCAAACATACACACACAACAAAAGAACACTAACTAAAAGCCATTGCTTAAAAAAAATGAAGAATAGTTATTTTAATGATGATTTTAAAATTCAGTATTTTGGAACATAGTTAACATTGTACTTACTTAATATTATATAATTTTTACAATGTGTAAGCTCATCAAAAGAGGAACATGTTTTTAATGCATTTTATCTAATGATCATTTTAATTGCCCTGATGTTATCCTTACATATATGTGCACTGAATTGTCACACTGTACCTCTAAATTTGTATATGTAAATAAAATTTTTAAAAGATAATTTGTTTATCATCTCTTACCACTAATCAGATCTCTGCTACTATCTTATTATTCCACACGCTGCCTCTCTCTGCCCCTAAATAAGACCCCGTGCCCCCACCACCGCCTGCCCTCTGTGATTTGGAAACAGACTTCTTCCTTCAAACCTGGGCTCTAAATCTTCCACTCTGAATTCTGCATGCTGTGCAAGTAATATGAGCTTCTCTGTATTCACAGAAATCCTCGGACCCCAACACACACAGACCTCCCTGGAATTCTGTCGGGCACTGCAACAGCATCCAGGGTTGGCATGCCAGTCCTAGTTTATGACTGTTGTATTTTCGTCTTCAAAGCATCCTGCATTAGACAGTAACTCAGAAAGTAGTGCTGGACAGCAGCACCGTCCGCCATGCCTCCAACACCCCCCTGGGGACACCAAGCTCACTTTGCACTGTGACCATGGAAGCTGTGAGGGTTCTAACCCTGTAGCCATGGCTTCCCACATGAACCATATTCCAACAGAACTACATTTGACTGGTCTGGTTTCTGAAAACTGAGCAGTTTCCCAAGAATGCTTTTTTTCCTCAAAACAAAAGGGTATCATTAAAACATCTTACATCAGACTTAGTAACATAAATAACGCTCCTACAAATGAACTGCAAGCCAATCACCTCACTAACAAAAATCTGTTCCATGTTCTAAGCCAAAATAGCAATTGTAGAAGATTCAAAATTAATGACAAAAACTAAGCACCTAGAATTCAAGTTAATCTGCAAAAACAAAGAAAGGTTGGCCACACGCACACTTTATTTTATAGATGGCAAGGCATACGTGTACCTACACTCACACGTATATCCATGGTCCAGGAGCAGAGGAACAGAGCAGGCAGAGGTCTGAGGTGGGAAATTAGCTTCGAGTGCTCACAAGAGAGCTGCGGAGAGACCTGCTTTGGTGGACACCACCGGCAGCATCCAGCACCTGACACTGGGCCCACACTCATTCCCAATCCCACTAGCAAGGAGGGGGAAACACTTCCTTGAGCCTGCAGGCAGTTACTGCCAGTGATTAGCGCTGCTGCAGGTGTGATGTTTGTGGTGTCAGAATGAGCCTGGCTGGGCAAGAGCTAACTGGGAGTCATTCCCAGCTTCCACTGAGCAGCCTGATTGAAACCAGCTGGGCCACTGACATCACCAGGAGCTTTTTACTATAAAAAGGGTGAGCACTGTGCAGTCAGGAAGCAGATCTGAGCCTGGGAACAGAAGCCAAGCTGGAAGAGTCTAGGAGAGCCAAGTGCAGTTCAGAGGAGGAGAAAAGTATTCCAAGAAGAAGCAGGGATGAGCAATTTGCTCAGAGACAGCTGCAAAAGGAAAAGGCACACAATGGAAATTTCCCTTGAGCAGCTAAAGCCTGCTGTTTCTCCCAAAGAAGGCAGTCATCAGAAGCCAGGCTTCCGAGGAGAGGCAGCATGAAGTGCCTTCACAGCTCCAGTTCCTGCAACCAAGGTGAAAAGCACCATCCTCAAGGTACCATATTCATGCAGTGCTCAGTCCAGGGCATGCTCATGGGGCTTCCACAGGCACTGCTGTGGACCTGAGGTCACAGCCAAGACACGGTGGATAAAAGCTGTCACCTTTAGATCACGTTCTTGGAAGGGGAAATAGGCCATGGACAGATACACGACATGTCAAGATACACAGTGCAAGGAAGTGAGGAGCATGTGGGCAAGCTGAGAGTGGGGAGCCAGCCAGAGGCACATGGATGCCACAACCCTGGGCTGCAGCTACCTGTCCGGGTTGTATGATCATCAAAAAGACCATGACTACTGACCAGAAGGACAAAGGGGAAGCAGAATTTGGAATGTGGACTGAAGAGCCAGAGAATGGAAGTGTCAACTCCATGAGAACTCAAGACCAGCGCTCTGAACAGACATGCTGCAGATAAACACGTGAACAGTGGCAGGGATGCATGAGGCTCCCCAGGGGTGGCTATCAGGAAAGGCAAGAGGACCTCAGAGTCAGGGGTAAAGAAAACGAAGAACCAGAGGGAAGGGTGGTGGAGTGGGGGAAACGACCCATGGGCTGAATGCTGCCCAAGGCAGGTGCCAAGGCCCAGCGCTGGCCTGGGTCTGACCAGAGAGCAGGCTGGAGGTAGAGGAGGCATGCCTGCCGTGGAGAGGGCCCAGGCTGGGGGCCAAGGCAGGTGGGGAGCTGGGGACAGGAGTGTGGACTCCTGGGGCATACGGCTGCCTCTGCGGGACAGGAATGCGGGCTCAGGAAGGGTTCTCCTTATGAGACAGCAAAACCTTAGCATGACTTTCTGCTAAGGGGTGAGGAGAGAATGTGAAGGTGCAGGGCTATAGGACTTCTGCAGCAATGCTCTCAAAGAGCTGGCGGGTGGCTAGTGAAGAAATAATCGCCCCTCCCCATCTAAGTGAAAGCCACTATGTGGGTTACTTTGGTTTGATTTTAGTTCTCTAATGAAATTAAGTTAGTTATGAATAAGAAGAGGGGAAACTTCCACAACTTTCTGAAATTCTTACTTACGGTACAGCGCACATGGTCTTAATCAAACGTAATAAAAATATGAAACTGCACATGGCACAGCACTGTAACCCCAGGATCCTGGGAGACTAAGGTAGAAGGACTGCAAGCTGAGCCCAGCTGCCAACTTGGCTACTTAGTGAGACCCTGTCTCATAATTTAAAAAAATTTTAAAGGACTGAGATGTAGCTCAGTGTGAAGGTCCTCTGTATCCCCAATACAAAAAAAAAAAAAAAAAAAAAAAAAATCAGCATCCAACCCAGATTCACTTTTCCCTTCCTTTCATAATTTTACTTTTATATTTTAAAAAGCCTCTAAATTAGTGGAAATGCTTGCCTTCACACAGCAGAGACAGGTTTGCCAGGTTAGGGTCTTTGTGCCTGTATTAGTCCCAAAATGACAAGCCCCAGGGAGGAAATGGGAGAAAGCACACGCCACACACATTAACCACATGGGTAGGCTTTCCACAGCTAGGAAGCCGATGCCTCATTGATCTCTCGCCTGTGCTGTCTCCTCCAGGAGAGAGCGAGGACATATAAAGTGTACTATTTTCTCGGCTACGACAAGTTCCAAAGTCTTCTGCAGTTACTCTGTACGTGCACAGTGCCCCACTGACGAAGCCACTCAAATGCAGCCTCATTGTTAAAATGAGCTTCCAGAGGGAGTGCTTTGGGCAGTGCAAGCCCTGAGAACCAGGAGGCAGCTGCCCAGAATTGGGAAGTGACAGGAGGAACAGTGGTCCCTCTCCTACCGTGAAACCCAGGAAAAAGGTGACAGGATCGGGACAGGAGAACCATGACTGAAAGGCTTCACCAGTTGCAGGATGAGGACTTCCTTCTGGGAGCCATGGGGATGCCCACAGTGATGCGATCCCTTGATAAAGAGCCATGGGGAATCAGGCCCTGAACTCCAGCCCTGGTGCATGGGAGAAGAGCGCACAGTGTCTCTGGAAGTTCTTCAGCCTGGGGCTGCTGGTCTTCTCACCCGGGTGCGGCCAGGGAGCTGCTGGCTTACTCACTCTGCTCTCTTATTCCAGCTTCTCTGTTTATTTACCTGCTGATTTTGCACCCCAAATAACTGTACTTTCAATACATATCTAAAGACTGTTATTAAGGTAAAATTAATGTGTGGAAAGAACTTCAGATCTCAGCAAGCTGCCCGTCCCAGTCCACGGGATATGGAGGGGACAGAGGGCCCAGGGCAGTGTGACAGATGGGCAGGGGTGGACTGTGACCTGTTCCCAGGGTGTCTCCAGCACACAGACCTCAAACCCAAACAGCCCATTTTACTCATAAAAGGCAGCAGTAATTCCCAGTGAGTGTCCTGAATGCCTGCTTGTTCTCGACTCACCTCAAGTATTATTTGATCCAAATGCACTAAATAAGAACAGACTAAGAGTTCACCTTACACAAACATGGAATCTCTTTATGCTTTTAAAAAATAAAAACAGCTCAATGGCATAAGCACCTGCCTGGAAAGTGCAAGGTCCTGAGTTCAATTCCTGGTAGTAAATAAATTTTAAAAATCTACACTACTGACAGTCCTTGAACAATTTTAGCACCATTTTATAATACACACACAACCCAAAGTTCAACAGGGTGTCTTTTCAAACACTTCATTTTCACATTTAGCAGGTCAATAACGTAAGAACCCATTTACATGAAAGCAAGCATCCACCCTCAATGTGGCAACTAACACTGTGACTGGAGGTAACACAACATCTAACCCTCAGTGCCCTCTTCTACAATACAAGATTCACAACCGGGAATCCGCTTAGCTGTGAAGTTCAATGATTCCCTTCCTGTGGCTTTACAGTATCAATCTCCCAAGCCAGCAAACTTTTACTCAAAACACAATGTTGGAGTTATTTTATTTTACATTGGTAATAAAAAGGTAAGTCAAGCACAAGTAAATCAACCAATAGGATTATTTTGAATTTAGGAATTCAGTGCTTGCAGGTGAAGATTTCTTTTAAGATATGTGGGAGGCAGCTCCTGTGACGGCTGCAGGCTCACTTCCTGCCTCCCTGGGAAGTGTCCCCAACTCCCTGTGTGGACATGGGACGATGCACCCACCCTACAGCTGATGGACTGGAACGTACACACCAGACCCACGCAAAGGTAAGAGTTTCTCTCCCTAGGAGCCCTCACTGTGATCTGATAAATACGGGCTGGGCATGAGTCCTGGTCATGACTCTGAGGATCCCAACTAGTCCTGGTCCCAGGCCCACCCTGCTTCTACCTGCCCTTCCTGAGGTGGAAAGCTTGGCCACCGTCACCGTACCTTTAAAACACTAAAACCTTTCAATTAATTAAAACTAAAAATGTACAGCCCAGCTCCTCCGTTGGGCTGGTCACATTCCCAGTGCTCACCATCACATAAGGCAGAGGTTAGCTGCCATCCTGGGCAGCCCAAAGCAAAGAGCAGCCCAACCAACACCAAAAACTCCCACCATTACAAGTAATTCCCACCAGCACTGAAGTCCTAACTGGCCAAGCTGCCCCAGGCCCATCTGGCTGAGTTTGGAAATCAGGAGAATCTGGATTTACTTTATATGTGTCCATTTATTTTTCTGTCTTCTTTTGTATTTGCACTCACAGAGGTCTTAACCAGGAAGTACCATGTTAACTTCTTAGAAATTCTATAAAGCACTTCTGAGTACACTGAAAGGTTTTAAGGCTTAGAGTTAATTCATCTCAAAACTTAGAAATTCACTTACATCAGCCCTAGGTGCCTCCTGGGTCACAGAATCATGGAAAAACCATAGCAAATACGTAATTCAATTTCCTGTATAAGAACCCAAGGAGATACTAAGAACCAGAAAGCCTGTAACTAGCTTTTGTGTGGGAACAGCTCTTAAATTTGGTTAATAGGTTATTTACCACAAGATAAATAGGATGCCAACTAAAAAGCAATGTACAACATAACTCTGCAAATCTCATGATTACACATGTAACGGGGCATGAAGTTTAAATACTTATTTACTCAGCAAGCTGTTACCACGCAGACTCCTGCCCTCTCTCACCCCATCTCCTTTCCAGTTTATTTTGTAGGTACATTTGCCATGGTTACCATTGTTTTCAATGCCATAGTTCCCATATCTAAAGGCACAGGAAACATTCTGTACTTTCAAACCAGGGAACAAATATATTTTTATTGTAATTTTTATTTTTCTCTGGAAGCTTTATGTGCAAGCCTTCAACCTGATTAGTCATCAGTACAGACTGAAATCTGAATAGCTGGAGTGGTTTTTATTCAGTTGCTTTTAAATAAACAGTAACAAAACATTTCTGAAAATATGGAGATTACAATGTCATACCCATAAGTCAACAGATTTAAACTTGCTAAAGCAAAATCTTCCAGCACATTTTCATAAAGCAACAGGTTAAGACAGACAGACAGACAAAGAGAGAGAAGAGAAAGAAAAAAAGGGAAGAAGGCAGGGAGGGGGATCACAAGCACAAATTCCAAATGCTGACAAGAGACAGGATTCTGCCACCATTCCCAGACTCAGTATCTTAAGCTTTGTGCAATGAAATCGGCAATCGTCCACTCTGGAAAGAATTTACATGTTTCAAGTAAACAATGACTTCAAAATTCATGCAATATTCACATGATGGAATAATTTTTTCAAAATTCCATTTTTTTAGTTTTTTATTCTACTTTTTAAATTTTTTATTAGTACATGTATGGAGCACATAATGACGACATTCTTTTTCAAACTATTCTTATATTACTTGCTTTTCTAAATGTTGTCAAGCATTAAGAACTCATGATCTCCTAATTAACCCTTCCACAAAGGCTATGTATTTGTTTTTCCCCCACATAGATTTGCATCTAATAGGATCAGCCTACAAACAAAGGGAGTACAACAGTCATGATCCCTGCACATAGGAAGCGATGCGGACATAAGTCTTCCTGTGGCTGCTCCTCAAGTGTGAACAAGCAACTGTGCCCTGTTTTTATCACTTCATATACATCAGGGTCCCAAATCTTCTGAAGCAATGATGCACACTTAAAAGAAGTAACCAAGACTATTAGCTGTACATTATTACAGTAAAAGACACTGCTACGCATCTCGCTCAAAATCTTTCTCCTCTTCGAGCACGTTTATCCCATTGTTCTTGTCACTTTGTGAAACAGTTCTGCAAATCTTCTTTCAAGATTGTCTTCATGACACGTGATCAAAAATACAGTGACTGCTGCTGCTGACCACCGTCCAGCAGAAAGGCAGGCTCACAAAAACGTCGCGGTGTGCCCTCATTCACCAGCTCTAGCACCATGCAACCTATGGCTCTTCCCCAAAGTCAAAATAATCGTGAAAGATAAACATGTTCATCAAATCAGGACATCCAGACCTGGGCCGCATAATCAGAGACACTCATGGAAGAGGACTCCAAAACTGTTTCAGTAAATGGCAAGCATGATGGGTTAAATGTGTTGGAAATGAGGATTATTTTGAGGGGAATTTACGGCAATGGGTTTTTTACAACAATAGTGTTTTAAACATTCACCATATTTTATATTACACCACATGCGTATATCTGTCATTGATATATATGTGTATACTATATATATATGTGTATGTATTTATGTGTGTTTATATATATATGTATATTTATGTGTGTGTGTGTATATATATATATATATGGTTTCACAGACCTTTGTAGCACAAGATCCGTGTTTGTGTACACAGGGCTTTCTAGCACACGGGACTGCTGGCCATCCCTATCTTGGGAAACACCTCTCCCAGGATGTTCAGGAAGACCCAGAGTCAGCACAGGGAGGTCCTGGCTAATCAGCACGCACAGCTCTGACTCACTGTGTTCATCCAAGCCAGAGTGAATCATCAGAATGCAATGGGAGTGCACAACCCAACAACCTACAGCCACTCCACCAAAGGTCTGGCCCACAGTTACATGACAAAGGCAAAGAGGCAAAACAGCACTATCTCCACACCTAGACTGCATCGCAGAAGCTGTGTTCTGTAGAGAGAATGAGCCAAAGCCAATAAATGCATTTGAAGACCAAGGAACACAAACACTAGCACAACTGTGGCATGGCTTCTGCTCAGCACCTTTAAAAACGAACTGCCTCACAGGGGATAACGAAGTATTCAAGTCCTCAAGTTTCAAACCTAAAAGTATTTACTGCTCTGAAGTTAGCCAAAAGGTAGCAAATGCACACCATGGTACAGGAGGAAGTCATAGAGTTCACTATTATAATGGAATTCCAACACTGGGTAAAAGAGAAAAGCTTCTGCATGCACTTAAATGCACATGATAGCAAAGTCAGAGCCTCTGCTGATCTCTCGTCACTGCAGTACGCAACACTAAATCCTGCTGCAGGATGCCAGATGTGTCAGCATGTTACCAATGGTTCATTTAAACCATTACTCCAAAACTCATTACTTAGGCTGAAGCTATTAAAAAATTCAGTGTAAGAGATTCAGCATGAACAGCCCCAGCTGGCCATGACAAGTGGCAGGGGAACACGGTGAGCTCAGAAGGAGCCTGTTCCTTTAACCAGGTCTGAGAAAATGGGTCAGCTGTCAAACGCGACAGGGTTCAGGCCCCACCAGGGACACATTCACTGCAGCAGCCCAGATCAGCTTTCGACAGCTGGGACCTGAACCTTCAGGCTTTTAAAAGTCATCGTTAACTTTTTCCCTACTGGAAAACTCATATATTTTTTCCAGGCAGTTTTAGGTTGTATAACAGGAAAAAGTGTGTATATGTATACATGTGCATAATAGTAATACATCTTTTCTATTTAAAAGAAAACCAGCACTTTAAGGCTATGTTTACTAAACATCTAATGTTTAAAGCTTAAGTGAAAGGTCATTCTCAAATCCATATTTCATTTCTCAAATCCAGTAACCAACAGAAAAAAATTTAGCTATTAGCAGAAATACCTCAGGGAACCTATCTTGTTCTGGCCAGATCTTAAAACTTTGAAATAGCCACTGGCTTTATATCCTTATTTGAAACATGCTTTAAGAAGTATTAGAGACAAAATTGGAAAAGCCAGTCATTTTTATATATACTTTTAAGAATCCTGTAATGTACACATAAAGTACTACACCACCAAAAGAAAGCCAGAAAGAATCTTTAGAAAAATATTGGTGCTGAGCTTTCCTTCCTGACAGAGTTCTGTGAAAATGATCAGCACAGAAAAAACGAGCCCCTGTTGGAATCAGTGCTAACACTTTAATTTCTGAGACAGTCCAGCTTTCTGCAGCATGTGTGGGGCTCAGGTGCTGTGGCAGGGGTCCATCCTTTGCTCTTCACAAGTCTTGATGACCCCACTGTCTTATGCCCTGGGCCAGAGTCCTGCCCAGTGTGTCAGTGCACGTACACACATCGATGCTCCTGCCTTCCAAAATACACAGACTGTGTGGCATAAAAAAAGAATCAGTAGTAGCTGGTTTATACTAATGCCCCTCTCTTTTTAAATCCAGGCAGGGAAAGTGCTTAAATGAGCTTTCAGTAAGTGTTTTTCAAAGACAAACTTTAAAGCTACACTGCTGATTAAAGAGTGGCAACTTAAATTCCAGGCAAACTCAGACACTGCAAATGAAACAGTTCTTGCTGTCTTGCACAGTTCTTCCCAACCTTGAAGTCAGGCAAGTTGAGGAGAAATCACCTTCTTAGAAGAGCCCTCTGCCCTGCAGCTCAAGTCATGCCACCAACTACAGGATACTCTACTATAAAAACAGGAGACGAAGGAATCCAGAGAAGGCAGGGCTCCTGGGAGCCAGTGTGGGGGCACCTAACCTGCTCGCCTAAATAAACCTGTTCAGCAGCAAATCACCACAACAGAGGCAGGGCTTGTGCTGAAAATCCTGGAGAGTGGGGCAGCTAGTGTCAGAGAGTCTCAGGAAATATACATTAATTTACTTTGTGCAGCTTATACATGAGGGTTATTTTACCAAGGTAATATCAAAATCATGTGCACACACATACCTGCAAGGCTATCACTATGAAAATAATGACACACTAAATACAAACTAATTAATTGTGCCAGGTCACTTAAATTTTTAAGTACCCTACGGTCACACAAATTCACAAACAGTGATTTTTAAAGAAGAAAAGCAGCAGTATCAAAACAGCACTACCAAAAGCAAAACTAAGCATGTTAGTTACAAAAGCATGATGATGCCTGTATGGTAGTAAAAATATTATCTGTATATTTTTTAAAAATAAAAGAAGCAGCCCTCTAAATATTTTACCTTTTTCCCAGATAAGGTTTACATACAGTTCTAAAAATTAAAAAAAATCTACACTTAGGCCAATCTACACTTGGCCAATTAGAGTACATGCAGACGCATGTACACACACACACACACACACACACACACACACACACACACACAGAGCACATACACACGGCGTGGTGTCTGACCATCCTGCCTCCCTCTGATTTGAGGCATTTCCTCCCTGTCTTGCTGCAAGGTGGGAACCCTAGAAGAGGGGGTCACCAGCAGGGCTGTTACTCTGCATCTGTGCAGGAAAAAAGAGGAAAAACAGCTCAGCTCTTACTTGCTGGTTAAAAACATAAATGACACTTGCCTACTGTCTTCCACAAATCCACGGTAATTGTAGCAATAGTTTTATTAAAGATATATCTCCATTAAAATATCCTTATAACATGTACAGCAGATGTGTTGGATGAAAGGAGAGAACGCTAGCACTGCCCCTGATGAGGATGAAAGAGGCCCTGGGCCTGACAACACACACAGGGTCAACATTTACAACAAAAGCCACTTGCAGTCTAAAATATGCATCTTATTCTGCACAGCTCCTTCATCTTTGTGTACCAGAACACATCCACTCACAGCTGTAACCATAGTTTGCGTATCATAATTACTCCATTCTGCTTTTTCATCTGACACCTTTCCATATGCCCTGTGTTTCTGCAGTTCCCACTGTTAAAAATTCCAGAAAGGGGATTGGGGATTTAGCTCAGTGGCATAAGCACCTGCCTGGCAAATGTGAGGTCATGAATTCAATCCCTGGTACAAAAAAAATCCAGAATTTTCCACAGATTTAGTAAGATACTTGTTGCAGGTCTGCCTTCTCACGGAATGAGATTAAGATGAAATCATGCTCATTTAAGGTAAACTACATGATTTCCATTACTCTGTTTTTGGATATACCGTATTTAGTTGCTTCCAATTTCTTTTCTCTCTTTTTATAGCTAACCATGCAATGAACAACTTCATGTAACACATCTCCTTTACTCAGTTCAATTATTTCTTCATGATTGATTTTCAAATGGGCCAATGAGTCGAAGACTGGGGACATTTTTAGCAGTTATAGTGTATTACTGCTTGTAAAATGTTCATACCTGTCTATAATACCAGGAATGAAAAAGAACACAAAATGCTCAGTAGTTATTTCAGTACCAGTACAACTATGTAAAAACACTCTTGACATATTTTGTTTTTCAGGATTAAAAACAGCAGTACTTGTTTCTAGATAAATCTCAAACACATCCCTTCTGGTACACAGCCAATAATCCTGATCCCTAAACCCACTCTCTGATGTGCCCACCGTTACACCAGGGTAGTTGTCGTTTCATACTTTTCTTCTTTTCCACACATAGCTGTATCAGTTATATGTAAGTTTTTAAAACTTTCGTTTTACAAAACTAAATATCTGCATGAAGAATGAACTCAATTATGAATTCAACGTATGTCTCATTCAAATAGCACTAGATTCCAATTAAATATTCAATTTGCAAACCACTAAGTATTGGATCAACTCTGATTAACAGACATGGATAATGTGCAATGGAAGATAATCCCCAAATACGTGTGTATGTGTGTATCAGAGGTACCTACTTTCCGTACTTGTTTTTAAGGACCCTGAGTTCATACTCTAAGATCACCTTGGCAGGTAAAATAAGAAAGCACTAAGAGGGAAGCCAGCCTGACTCCAGAAATCTCTGGATAAGCAAACTACGCCAACACTGTCCCTAGCAAGACAAAACCAAGTGTAACCCAGTGTTAAGACAGAAGTGACACAAAGTTAAAAGTCATCAGAAGGACATGGCACTTGGCAGGAAGAGGCTAGCAAACACCTTGGAAATCTCTCCAAATGGTGCAGCTGCATTTCTAATCTGAAACCCCTAAAATGCCCTGTATTAGGAATGTCACTCCTGTCACCTTCGGCACCTGAGTAAGAGGACTGGAACACGGGCATTCCCCAGGGAGCCCAGGGAGCAAGGAGCCCCTGGACAACAGGATGACGTGCGATGACCAGGGGGGGTGGCCTGGAGGCCTGCAGCCCCACCTCTCAGTGGCTTCGCCTGGCGGCTGTCCTGTGGCTACCTCGCAGGGCTCCACAGCGCCAGCCCCCTCTGCTCTAGATGCAGCCCTCCTTCCAGAGCTTCCAACTTTGCCAGAACATTTATACCAAACTTAAGTAGGGTTATTCTTTTTTTTTTTTGTACTGGAATCGAACTCAGGCCCTTGTGCTTGCCAGGCAGCTGCCTGTGCCACTGAGCTATAGCCCCAGCCCCAGTATAGTTTTTCTGCTCTCTACTTTTGGGAAGGACCGTGTCATCTGTTTATAGCCCTGGTAGTTTCACTGCGTTGACAGCGCTTCCAATCTTCTCCTGTCTGCCCAAAAGGCATAAAGCTCATCAGCAGGGTTCATCCTACGGGCGGCTGGTGCCGCTGCAGGTCTCTCCCAGGCGTCCCCTCTGGTTCTGCCTCGGCCCTTATGAATGGGGCCATGCAACTCCCTGCTTCGCTCTCAGGAGTCCTCCTAGGAGCCCAGGACAGATGCAGCAGGGAGTCTAGCCCTGAGCACCGCTGGCAGGGCCACTCAGGGCCACAGGACTTCCACGGCCACCATGCTTCTTAGTCAGACTTCAAAAGAAAATTAGAAAGACAGATGAGCTACATGAAACTAAGCACAGTTTTCACTTCTTATGGTAAGGCAAACAAGGAACAACAGAAAAAAGATGTGGGGCTGCGAGGGCATTGTAGGTTCCTGAAGGAAATTTTATTAATCCCGAAGCTGATATGATTTAAAGTGGAAAAAGTATTTTTCTTCTCCTATGGTGAATACTGACTTTAGTTTACCTCCAAGTGTTTCTCCCTTCAAAAATCCCATCTATAATATGAAGTAATTCTTTTTTCCCCAGATGTAGGTGGCTATTTACAGACCATCACTTAATGACTAAAAAATCAACTTTCAGGCCACCTTGTCCAAATCTCACCCCGTTTCACAATGCTCTCTATTCATTCAAATTTGGGTGCTATTGCTGCTGGTGCCATCGTCAAAAGTCATGACTGTTGCGGTGGGTTCAGGGACACTGGTCAGGTGGGGTCCACACCTTGGCACCCCAGGCTCAGAGGGGCAGGGTGAGTATTAGGGGGCATGTAGTCTTTACTTCCTCTGGTCCTGCAGCCCCCATCCTTGGATCCCTTCCTCATGTCCTGCTGCCCATCCTGCCCATGGGCGCAGGGATACTGCCTGAGGCACAAGTTGTCCCCAGGGAGCCAACCCCACCACACTGGAGACCAGCAGCATGCCTTCCACTTTGTCCCAGATGCACACAGCAAGGTGACAAGGTCTCACCCCAGGCCTCCCCTCCACGGGCCACTCACTGTGAGCTCAGCTGACCCAGGGCTACTTGATGCCCTTACTCCCTTTGCTGAGTGTCCCTGACTCTGCTTCTGTGTTCTGGCTACAGACTCAGTCTCTCCTCTGCTCCCCTGGCCAGGCAGACACAGACTCTCACACAGCAGACACAGAACGCGCCCATCCCAGGGGCTCAGCAGGGACAGAGCTCTGACTGCATCACCAGGCAGCCACGCTGTGAGCCTCAGGTGAAACAGGGCGGGAAGAACAGCATTTCAACAAGGACAGGCAGATTCAGAGGAGAGAGAAGGAAATTACAGAAAGTACCACTTGGAGCCCTCTCTGGACAGGGACTGGGGCAGGACCCGACCCTGGGCACTCTTCCAGGAGGAGAGAAGCACCTCCAGTGACACTGTGCTCTGAGCTGCCAGTACCTGGGCTCTACTGTGACCCTATGAGGCAGAAGAGCTCCATGGCCCCTGCCAGCCTTCAGACTGTGGGACTCCAGGACACAGCCACGTTTCCCAAATCTAGTTTGTTCACAATGTCATAATTTTATATTTGCGTATCAAATAGAAGCAATAACTTTGTTCTGTGTGTAATCAATATAGTCCTTACCTGAGGAGCTACAGTTAACTCTGTACTACTACATTCTAAGAGTGGGCTCTGCGAGTTTTAATAATGAAAATAAATCCATGGCCTTTGGCATGAAGAAGCAGAACAGTCCTTCCCCAGGCAGGGTTCTGTGTCCCTGGCACCCCTTGCCCTGGATGAGCCTGTGGGGAGGGGGAGTGTGCCTGTGCCAGGATATCAGAGGGCCTCCAGCCACTGGGTGCCAGGCCCTGCCCCCTGCCCTTCTTCAACAGCTACCAACGTCTGGAATGCTATCCAGGCTGCTCCACGCTCACTTGGAAATACTAAGGGAAGGGAATCAAGCTAATTTCACTAAGTACTCAGGGTCTCAGAACACAAGATGCCCAGAAGGAAACCATCACAGGTGGGCAGGCCAGGGCATCAGCAAGTACTTACTTACAAGAATGTTTGCTTAAGTTAAACACTAGTACTCATGACCAGGCAAATGCAGTGTATCAAGTAGCTATTTATTTTCTACTATATGTAAAGATTTCACAGTGTAAACATCCGAGTCAGCATATGCAAGTTCTAAGAGTGTGAAGGAATTCTAAGTAGCATTTCCTGAATCTTCTTTTTGGGAGACTGATACCCTTACTCAAAATCTCATTGTACCGTCGGTCGTCGCATGATTGAAGTCCACCTCTAGACAAACTAAAACAAAATAGAGACCTGGCAAGTCTTCTGATGATTACTTTGCTTCTACCCTTGCTCTTCAAGGCCTAAATTATAGTTTGGCTCTGTCAACTCTAATAAATTTAACCAGATAGTTAGCAAATCTATAAATAACTTTTTTCCATCATTACTTACAGTAATGATTTAAAGATGTTTCTGACTCTTTCCATGAGTCCTCCTCAGAACTGGTTCTGAATTCCTGAGGAACCAAAAGAAAATCATCGATTGTGCAAATCCAGTACTAGAAAGTGAGAGCTCCTTAGAAGGACACCACCTCGCCACGGAGAACTTTAAGTCTGCGAGGCTTCGAGAATGCTTCCTTCTCACTGAGCGTCTTCTCTAGCAGACATGGGAAGAGGCAAGCACTCTGCTTTGTTTCTGGGGGAGCTGTTGTGAGGTATCTCAAACTGTGTCAAGAGGAGACACACTGACTTAAACCCTTAAAAACACACACATATGGACACACCAAAACGTGGTAGAGTAAGAGCTGCCTAACTCTCTTGTGCAAGTGGGAAATGTTCTCAAATAGAGGCCAACGAATTCCAATCACAGAAACCATTATCCCATTTTAAATTTCTACTTAGATCTCATTCACAGTCGATGACAGGAAGTTAACCAATACCTACAGGAAGTCAGTTTGTTTCTACAATTATGTACACTATTTTATATAGCAAATAGCTGAAGTCTAGGGCTCACCTGGCACCCAATAAAGCCCACAATGCTCCCAGGTCTCCCTCTGGCTCATCCTCAGCTCCTCAGCTGCTGTGTGAGGAAGTGCAAGGAAAGCACAACCACTGTGCACAAACCCCTCGCTGTGACACAGCTTTTCAGAGACCAGGAGGCAACGAAGAGTTTGTCATTCTCTCTTCAAAGACAAACCCTCACAGCTCCTATAAAATTTGGTGGCTGTGTCATTTTATTTAAGGGTTTTATCACAGGTTTATTTTCCAGAGTGCTTCAGATTACTCTGTTTCCTTTATTTTCAATCAGAAAAGCCTGTCTGAAGTGTGTTATTGCAAATGTGCAAAATTTACACTTATGCCTACATGAGTATGACTGATACACCCATCTTAGAAATTTAGTATTAGGGCTGAAATTAAGTCACTGCTAACTCTTCATCAAATCTGCAGTCAAACTATCACAGAAGTGTTCTGAAGTTATTGAGAACATACTAGAGTCACATCCATAAACTTAGAGCTTCTAAAAAGTCTTAGTGTCTGATTAAATACAGCATAGCCCTTCTAGGAACTTAGTAACTCAAATAAAAATGGCTCCAGAGAATAGCAAAAAAAAACAATAATTGTCCTTATGGTCTCTTCTTTTAAAAGGCATTAATTACATTCTGCCAATGACAGTGGCAAGTGACAGGTTCTCTGAGCACTTCTCCTCTTCTTTCTCCCTCTTAGAGCTACAATGGGATTTGTCCCACATAGTAAACAGTATTTCCCTTCACTCTGCCTGACAGGAGTAGCGCATATTTCCAGGGGGAGAACCCAGGCCCCGAGCACAGCTCACTTGCCAGCCTCATGTGCCCAGCCTAAAAGCTGACCCTGAACTGCTCTGTGAGCATCCTGAACCAGCTGTCCAGCAGGACAGCAGCAGCAGCAGCAGGAAGTCAGGTGGCAGAAGCTGCCATGCTCTCCTCAGGACCACAAGCATGGACAGACCCATTGCCTGGGTCTCCAGGAGGAGGCCCACAGGTGAGCAGCCTGGGAAAGGGCCAGCAGAGTAGTGTCCGCATGTGCAGCCTACTGCTTGCTGGTGTTCTGACCATACCTCCTGTGACAGAAGCTGCTATCTACTGCGCCCCGAGTACAGTACTCCCTGGGCAGGGAGGACCCTCTGTGCAACTCCTGGATACCAAGGGCCACTGTGTACTCCTTCCATCAACTTAAGTAAAATGAGGAGGGCTGTCTGGACTCTCTTTCCGTGCCTCATCATGATGCCTTGGCTAATGCCCCTTCTGTTTGAACCAGGAGCTGTCTACTTTTCTCTCCTTGCTCTGCAAAGTGAGCAGCTTAAAGAAAGCAGGGGGCCAAGACTCAGATCCCTGGCTCTGCCCACCTCAGTGGGTCAGCTGCACAGTCTTACTGGGGTTTCCCTAGGCAAGAGCGACTCTACTAAGTGACTGCTATCCAGAGTGCCGCCCAGGTCGGCACCTCCACTGGGTCTGAAAGACATGCTTGGCCCTAGACAGACTCAGCATCCTGCAGGAGCAACAACTCAGAGTCCCCTGCGAAACAGACAGAGGCAAACCCCTCTTCACTTCATCTATAATAATGGGTTGTCAACTCCACCACGTAGCAAGGATCTTCAAACCAACACAGGAAATGAATCCGAGTCACTCAAATAAATATTCACAAATTTTATGTCACAATTTTATAATTCCATCCTATTTCGTTGAAATACTGAAAGGGTCCTTGTCTTTTATACTCTTGATACTCCACTACAGTGTGAGCATATAGTAAGCACTAATAATTGATAGTGAGTAAATACACTTATAATTTCCATTACTATATATCTAAGTGATTGTCCTGAGGACAGTAATGTTATATTTACATTGTCTTCCCTACCACTGAGGACCAACATCATACCAGAGTCCTAGAGGTGCTTTAAAAGGAATTATTAAGCACACTTACGTGGAACACTGTGTGTGTTCTAGGCTTGGCCTGGGGCTGCAGAGCTGATTTAAGGAGGTCTCTTCCCTCCAAAATCAAGAGTATACATGGGGGGAAAAAAGCAAAGTAAACAGGCAAGTAACTAGCATGCTAGCACATTTCAGAGAAGCAAATAATCTAAGTCATAAGGACAAAAAAATAAAATTGCCAACTTTTTAAACAAATACAAAAATTAGCATGCATGCATGCATATTCAAACAATTCAAGATATCCAACTACACATGTAAATACTTAGTATCCAGGAAATGTGAATCACAGTAGCACAATGAAATGTGAGAAGTTACAAAACAGCGTCACAAACACTAGTCGAAAACTTGTAATGGGGCTGGGGATTTAGCTCAGTGGCACAAGAGCCCACCTTGCAGGCACGCAGTCATGAGTTCAATCCCTGGAACCAAAAGAAAAAAAAGAAAGAAAACCTGTTTGGACCAACAACTAGCAGTCAAATGTCTTGGCCTGGGTTTTTCTGACACCAGAAGGACTTGGATCAGGTCAAAACCATGATGGTAATAGACAGGAGGGAAGAGATCAGAAGCCCCACAAAGACTGCACAGTTTTGTCACCGTTTTTAAGTTAATTTTGTATCACGTTATGACACAGGACATAAAATTTCCTATAGAGGTGGTCTCAACACCACACTCCACATTGTACTGTATTTCCACCACCCCAAATGAGGGACCTGTAGGTAATTCTGGGTGCTGTCATTGTTTCTACTAGAGCTTATGGGTAATTTAAGAAGAAAAGGGGAAAAGTATTAATCAAAATTATACTCATCTTCAGGGAAATCTTAAGACTAAGATTTTATTTTTAAATCATTTCATAGGTCTGTAATTGAAATCAAAAGAATTCAACACAAAGAAAATAATCTCAAATGCCAGCAAGATAAAAACTTTCCACAAACTCTTATGAGTGCTACATATATAAAATGTCTCATATAAATATATGCATACAAACATGACATACAAAACAGCATTCAAGTCCTCAAATGTCCATGATTTACTGCAACTACAAACCTTAACTCATTTAACAGCAAGTAACAAGATACTACTTGGTCTGCCTATTGACAGTGAACAGTGTTACCCAACTTATGGTCGCTCTTGACCCAAATAATGCCACTAGCATGCTCACTCTCAGGTAGGAGTACTGCAAGTAACAGTAAGATTTTTAAGCAATGATTTGCACATTTAGAAGAATATTACTTTGTACATCCTTAGTAACATGCTGTTCACTCCTCCCCCAGAAAAGTTACTTTTTGAGAAGGAGTAAATTGATATGAAAATGAAACCACTAGGTAATTATGAAATTAAGGTAAATCACATGAATGGTTATATTCATTTTCTACAACAATTGGTCCATTTAATTTTCAGAATACTCTAAAGAAATATCAGCCTCAAAGAAATGTAATGTAAAACTAAAAGCAAAGTTATGTAGCTCCTAAAGAGTATACTTTATCCCTTAGTCATTTCACTGATAAAGACAACCAAGACTTAGAAACATCTGTTGCATATACAGTAGGGCAACAGTAAGATAGATATACAAACACCGGAGAAAGCCCCTGACTTAGATTAAGAAGATGAATTTATTAATGTGTTTATGCCAGAACTACTCCCCATCAAGCTCCTGGAAAGAAGGCTCATCTCTGGCATTGGTCTCAGTCCAATCATCTTGATGAGGTCCCTTAAAGGAATCCTCTTCTGTAGGGCCTACAGCTTTAACATTCTGAGACGCTCAAGCTGCAATGCTATACCATCCATAAAGGTGTTAGCACTGCAGACCTGGATAGCCTGGCAGGCACTGTCACAGAGTTAGGAACCCTTGACTCTGGCAAGGTCACCTTTAGGGTGACATGGCCTCTATCAACAAGACAGAAGTCCCTGGTTCCCAGCAAAGACTTCTGAGAATGATTAAGGCAACTCTGCCACCCTAAAGACGATACAGCAGATTTACAAAGCATGGAGTCAAGCTGAAAATTTCAGGGCCAAATTCAAGTCTCACCTAAAAACTGGGAGTGACCTTAAAAGTGGCTTGAGTGTTAGTCAAGGCTATGTTGCAGTTCGAATCCATATCTCCATCTACAACTCCAGATGGACATTTATGGAAATGGACATGACTCTCCATGGTGGTCCTCTCATCTGTTGAGAATTTTGTTAGTATTTTCTGCTAGTCTTTTCTCCTTTTGCATATGGTTACTTTTGTACACTGAAAATGCTTACTTTTTATGCCACTAAATTTGTTAATTGCTTTGTAAATTACAGTTTTCAGAGGCTTATAAAGATGTCTCCATCAAGACAGTTTACTAACAGTCTCGTATACTAATATTTATATTTACATTGTCTTTGAACTTTATTTACACTTTTAATACCCGGGAATGCTTTCTATATATGGTGTTAAATATGGCCAGTAGCCACAGCATAATACTAAATGGTCCATGCTTTTCCTATTTAATTGAAACGTTGTGCTATCATCTTGGTAAGGCTCATTATATAGAGAACCTCTTGCTAGATTATGTCTAATGATACCCACTTCTGTGCCAATACTCCTCCTCAGTTTGTAAATTTTAATTCCTTTCATTTCCTTAGAGTTTCATTTTTAATTTCATTTCTACAGACAGAATAATTTATTTTCTAAAATTAATGCACTAAAAATCTGAACATGGAATACTACGAATTGTTTAGATTTGCTCATCTAAAGTGTTTTACCAATTCCCTAATTCTGTGTTACAATTTTAACAGAATTATGTTCAAAACTGAAGAACAATATATACACTCACATATCTAATAGGCCTTAACTAAAAATTTAGTACTACTAAGTTAATCTACAAGTCCTTCACTCTATACTTATTTCATTTTACGAATGCAAAAATAAAAGAATAAGACAGCAACATTTCTTCCATCATCTTACACTTTACATGGAAAACATATTCAAAAAATCTCTAATAAGCGTCCCTTATTTTTACGTACAATAATTCTTAAGACTGCAGAACTTGAAACAGGCCAGTTGGGCCCAAGTTAAGGGAGACACTGGACCCTTGAGGCGGTGGCTGTGCCAACTCACGATGCAGTGAGCGATGGTGGAGCAGGGTGAAGCCGTGGGCACGGCCAGCAGCACAGTAAATCAACAATGAGATCTTTCAGAGGCCCTGGGAGACATGCTGGCTTGGCTTCGCAGGGTTAGAACAAGAGGCAGCAGAACCAGTTCCCAAGTGGCCATGAGTCTGTTTATTTTATTTTGCTTATCTAAAATCAGGGCAGATGATGCCAGTGGCTTGGAAGGACCAGAAAGCGTTCCTGGGCTTCAAGAGGAGAAAGCTGTCTGCTTCTCAATAGGGGAGCTGTTTGCTCAGTGAATGCTAAAGCTGAAACCCATTTGAGACCATAAAAGGTGTGAGTATTTCTTCCTCTCATCCTCTAATGTTTTTAGTCATGTGTTTCAAAAGAGATAAAAAGCACTTCCTCCACAACTCTGGACAAGCACACAGGCAACCCCAGAGCTACTGCTGCCAGAGGGAGAACACAGGGATGAACGCAATGGCTACTTCTAAGCATAACTGAAGCTTTCCAGAAAAGCAACAAATATTTAAGATGTGAATTATAGTATTTGCCTTAATTGGACCAGGCTAATAATGAAAAAGCCTAGAAAAATATGGAGGAGAAATTCTAAGGACCATTCTTCTTTCATATAAAAACTAAATGTTGACAGAATTCAAGCAAGATAAAATGAAACTTGTAATAGCAAACTTTTGTATTTGAGGGCAGCTTCAGAATGAAATCATTTGTGACAATCTTTGTACTTTAAAAGTGGAAGTTATTTAAGGAGGCGTAGAAAGAATCAATGAAGTTTTTCATCCCTTCTTGTGTCATGTCATGGTAAAAGTGTTTTAATAATCTACACATTATATACAACAAATACATTTAGCCTAACAAACAGTTTTCTAAGTGTTTTTTGACTCACAAAAAAGATCATTTGCTCAGAGAATCTGAAGTGATGGAAATGCATAGTTTATTCAGTACTTAGAACTTTATACCAATTATACCAGTTAATTTGAAAGCTTTACACAGTGCTTCGAGAGGATACCATTTGCAAGAAAGGTACATTTAAGTAATGGGTCTCATCTGCAATCAGATATTTGCAAGTGGAAATTGTTAATGCTGCCCGCTGTGAAAAGAACATTTTCCTTCAGCAGTGAGGAGCACTGTCCCCCTCCCCCATACCAGAGACAAAGCAAGGACTCCTCAGTGCAAGGAGGTGAACTCTCCCTGCCACCCCTGGAATGGCACCGCTCAGTTTCCTTGCCAAAGAAGGGTTTTCAGAACTGCTCGGCTATCATTAACTGAACTGCACCTTGGGAACTCGTGAGGCATGACCCTCCTTGCATAAGAAACAGGGCTTCAGGGAGGTTTGCAAGGGACACATCAAAGCACTGCCAGAAGAAACCAAGTGCCACCTCCTTACCTCAGAGAAGCCACTAGGTCTGACAAGGTGTCTTCTGCTTTCACTTCTACTTTAGTTATCGCAGCTGCCTCAGTTAAGAAGCAAACATTATACACAGATAAGCGAAACAATTAAGAGTCCACGGCCGGCCACAGAGCACAGCCAGGGCACAACACAGCGCTTTCTGGAGCCCAGCTGGCTAAGGTCAGAACACCTGCACAGGATCAATGCAACACCTCTTCTTCAGGCCCACGCTGGTAAGTACCTCTGATGTCAGTGCCATCTAACACCGAGTGATGCCGCCCAGTCAAAGAGCTTGAGCTCCCTGCACCATGGGCTCTGAGGTGGAGTCCGCTGTCTCGATGAGGCACTCAGACTGGCACCCACACCTGGTGAGGAGATGGCTACACTGACAGACAGCAACACAGCATCCACCCTGCGTGACCCTGTACAGGTCCCTGTGGGAGGTGACAGCCTTGCCTTTCCTGGTCCCCAGGAACTTGGGCACAGAATGCATGAAGATGAGAGTGAGTCACTGACACACTACCAGCATTTGGAGCTCTGCCTCTGAGAAAAGATTCTGAGACTGCAGTTTGGCCACAGAAACCTAGCAAACTGGGGCGTGTCCTCAGAGCTGACACATCTGCTGAAAGAGAGGCTTCATGTGTCAAAGCCCGATTCACACAGACAGAGCAACTAACTTCCTGAAGATGTTCTCTTCAGCCCAGTCACCGAAGTACAGAAAGAATGAGTACTGTCTTTAGACTGTAAATGTATCTGGTCATATGGTCCAAAGATTAAACAGCTAGTCGATGGTCACCTATAAAACTCTCTCTTGGCAGACACCTTCCCTTACATTCCCAACCCCACGGGAGGCTCAGGGCAGTGGGCACTGGGTCGGGAAGCTTCTCCAGTCAGACACAGTGTTCAGGGCTTCTCCACAGATCAGAGTTGCCAAGTATTCACTGCTCTTTTGGGGATAACTCTTCTTTTTCTAAAGTTCCATGTACACTACAATTCAATCTTAAGTTAGAACTGCAAAACCTGCCACTTCAGGATGGGAATCCTCACTATGAATCTACGTAATCTGTTATCCAAAAGCAATGATAAGGAAAACACAGTTACAACTGAGCAGTCCGGGAGAATTCTTTAATTACATCTTACACATTGTTTAGCCTTTTCATCTACTGGGTGTGTGGCAAAACAACTAAACACATCTTGAAATGATGCGTGCCTGTGTGTTACAGACTTCAGCTGATGCTCTTCAAAATTCCTGCACCAGAAGTCTGGCCTGGAATGTGAAACTAAAATTTATCAAGCTTTATCATGATTTTTATGCACACTGCACTTACAAAAATCTTCAGGCTATGCAAATAGGACTTCGTACAAAAACTATTTTTCCCCACAATAAATATACCTGAGCTGAATTAATGCTAGATTTTAGAAATGGAAAGGAAAAATTGAAAGTCTGATGCTAGTAATTGTGTTGGCACCTTTCTGCAAAACACCCAGTAGACTTGCTTACAATGTTGAGTACTTGACTGTTCACAAATCCCCTTTACTGTAATATCCAGAATTATTTTTAAATGTATTAGCCAGTTATTTTGGACTCACAAAGCATTTCATTGTGCTAATAAAGTCTCTTCCTCCAATATGAAATGTATACACATACACACCTGAGATTAAGTGTGCACACGTGCAGAGTCGTTGCCCAGAATGAGGCATCCAGAGTGTGCAGTTTCCAGCCCCGCGCCCCAGCTCTCCTTCCTCGGCTCCCTATCTATGCTTTGAGAACAAGGCCCTGTGATCTATGATTCATAAGGCTGAAGGCAGAGAAAGGGAGATGATGCTGCACACCAAGATGGTCTTGGTGCTTCCTGTGGCTCCCAGCTGGAAGGGGCTTTATTCCTGGAGATGTTATAAATGAAGGAGCTTCCTACATGACAATGGGCCATAAATAATGGAATATGAGGACTGAGATTATTTACAAGTGGGAGTAGCCACGCATCTCAAGCAGCTATGTTGTGATGCAAGTTTTTATGAACATCTGAACTCCAAAGGTTCAGGAGTCAGGGACATCAGAGCCCACAGCCCATGTTCTAAAACCATAACCAAGTATACTGTATGTGTGGGAGAATAATATATACAAATATATCTTTTTCTCTCTAGTAAGGGCCTTGGAAAATTCCAATTGTACATTTTTTAAAAAGAAATTAAGCTGTACCTGCATACGAACTGACTTGATTCTGCATGCCAATTCTCTTTGTAGCCTACAGGAGCATAGTTAGCTGTCAGAACCCAGAGATAGCCAGGCCTAGAACAATGAATTCAGTGGCTTGTTCTCGAGAACATTCCAACACTGACTTAATAATAAAAAGCTACATGTTGCCCAACTTTTAAAAGAAAGCATATATTTATCAAGTTATCCTAATGAGTCAAATACTTTAATTATTTATGTCCTAGACAGCTTGATAAAACATTTCCTATGAAAAGACCGGGATATAAAATACTGCTTAGCTACGTAAATTAAGAAAACTCAGCCCATTATTACCTTACCTAACACTTCAGTTCAACTATGCCAGTTGTACTGCGAACTCCAGAGATACTCATCATTACATTCACATTAATAAAAGAAACACTGCCCATGATTAAAATTCCTGTTTGTCTACACAGAAGTATGTTCTTCACTGCCAAGATATTTTAAATGCCTACCATTAGCACAAAGCTGCAAAAAAACGGAAAGACTTAAAATTTTTTAAAAAATTATTTCTCACTAGCCAATTATTATTATGTTCTATTTTAATAATGATCATTTCAGCTCACAAAAATTATCAATATGGCCGTATATGCACTCAAATATTTTGCGAAAAAACATGGTACTTGTGTAAAGAACAGAAAAACTAAATTATATACTCCATGTTAAAAGTTTGGTTTGAAAATTAATATTACAAAAAAAATTATGACATCAATTTTAAAAATTGCTGGGAAAAAAAATTGCTTTCAAATAGTAAAATCTGTGACCAAACCTAGTAAAGTGAAAGTAGTGTATAAATGTTTTCTGATTTAAAGATCTTGTTCAAATTTTTTAAAAACTTCTGGGTTTACTTGGCAAGACAAGAATTAGTTAAATTAATATATTTAAAAGGGACTATCATTTGAAATTCGTGATCTTAAAGATGTATGTAGAAAATATAATTAACATGAAATGGGACAATAAAAAATACTAAAATATTTTTGAAACAAACACTAAAATTATGAAAAATATAACCTCTATGCTAGGAGACTAATTTAAAAAGTCAAGAGTTAGTTAATTCTCACTTACGTTAATAATCACAGCAATGCAATGGACAATGCATCATTTCAAGATTTATCTACCCATGACTATAAATACAGCTTTAATTTTGGGAGAGCACTTAATGTTTTTTAAGTCTATGAAAACACAGCCCACATATTCAATTGTGTTCTTCTACTGTATTCCTTCACGTTGCTTCTCTTGGTCTCTGGAGCAAGAGAATTAAAGCCATTGAGCATCTCCTTTGTGAAAAGACATTGAGCCCATTCTTTTTATTACCTAATTTAATCTTTACAACCAGCCCTATCAGCTCAGGAGTATTAATCTTATTTACCTAATGAGGTATTTAAAAATCATAAAAATGTGGTAAGTTCCTGCAGTCACAGACTGTGTCCCGGCTTCTCCTCCCCTTGAGTTCTGCTGCTGTCTGGCACCAGACTGACATGCCGTGGGCTCGGAATGCTTCAGGTCTTCTGAAGATGAAGTGTGGGCTGCAGCTGACCATTTCCCTGTGAATTTCTCTCTTTCCCCTCCAGAAGTTATGGAGAAAACCCATTTACAAGTTATTCAGATTCACTTCTCCACCACTTCCTACTTTACATTAATACATCATTTAAACAGAACCATGGCACTTAACAAGGCTTATTTTCCGCCAAGTTGTTTTCTAGGTAGATGACACAGGTACTTCACTCAGTTACAAGCAGTTGTGAAAACAATCTGGATGATAAAAAGTATTATAAAAGCATAAAAAGACTCATGTACTTGGATCTGAACTGAACACACACAGAATGCACATTCATGTAGCATACTTTATTACATAATGCACACATAGCAATTACATAAAATGGATCTTCACACCTAGTCCCATTTCACTGACACTGTAATCATCAACTACACACTGAATGACATAGTGTAAGACATGAAGCCAGAACTTTCTGGACATTGTTTTGTGGTGAAAAAGTTAGAAAAATTCACCTGGGAGAAGAGATTTTAACTAAGGATATAAAAGCAAAGTACTAGGAGCAAACAAAATATTTAGAATCCTATTTTTACTTTCTTAAAAAACTAACACTTGTGAATTACTTTCACTGATAAATCAGCTGAGTGGTCATTCATTTTTGTTAATGTATTGTTCTATAAAAACTTTTTAAAAGTTAATCAAAATAGCTCCATCAGTAAAACATCATTTGGAAAAATTAAGCTGTACAGTCATTCACCAAGGAAATTCAAACATCTCTAATTATCAATTTAATGATCAATTGTAAAGCATGCATCAGTACTGCAAGTGCAGAGCAGAAGGCACACAGGACAACAGGCACAGGGACGAAGTGTGCATGACACAGCTGTGCACACACACAGGTCCGGGAAAATGGTGGAAGTACACACCGCAGTGTGATGTTGTCACCTCAAAGAGCACCCTGACCAGCCTTCAAAGTGGATTTTCCTGAAAGCACATGCGAACATTCCCAGGAGAAGAACAGATATTCGCACACATGCCAGTCAGGAAGAGCAGTACCACTTCTCTTCTCTGCAGGTGTTCTGTGTTGAGTTGTGAGAAATGCTGGCCACTGCCTTTCCTGTCAGCCCCACCGAGAGCACATGGGGACTGTGACCCATGTGGTGAGACTCCAGGGCTAATGTCTTCAGAATCACCAGCCATTCCCACTGCACAGATATCTGCTTCAGAGTCCCACTGAACTGACTGAAAGCTGGCCCTGCAATCCCCGCACTCTGCAGGCTGATACAGAAGGGTACCACTAGTTCAAGGCAGTGGTGAGTTCAATGCCAGCCTCGGCTACACAGTGAGGTTGAGGCCAGCCTGATCTACAGAGAGATACTGTAGATCAACTGACCAAAAATAAATAAATAGGCTAAAACTTCCTAGAAAACAGCGTGATTTCTTATAAGCAAATGTCTACTGTGGCTTTTTAGTTAACAAGATTTTAAGTATAAGTAAGATAATATAAGATATACATTGTTTGGATATTTTTAAACTATTACATTTGTTAATGGCTGTGAATACAAGGGTCAAAATAATCAAAAACATCCACTTCAGCTGATTGATGAACAAAGGCAAAATGCAAGGAACTGATCCCAAGAACCCTTCTCCTTTGGAGCGCACCTACTGAGGGTCAAAGCCTAGAAAAGCAGCTCAGCACTGTGAGGGGTGACCCAGGCCATCTGCCAGCTCCCACTTTCCTCACCCACCCTGCTCCTGACACTGGGTGGCACCCCAAAGCAGGGATTCAGTAAGCCTGTGAGGAGCAGGCACTCATCCACCTGGGGTCTCTGACAATCACAGGGAGCCTGTGAGGAAGAGCCTGACCCTCCTGGCTGCAGACTGAATCAGCAGAAATCACATCCCTTTACCATGACGGAAACTGAAGGTCCTTGTGCGTGTGCATATGAGAGACACAGAGATTGATTGGGGGCCAAGACTGACCACCTGAGAGCACAGCTGATGTGGTTCCTCCTTCTGAGGACTGCAGTAAAGCAGAAGGATGCTGGGTGCCCTGGGAAGCTGGAAAGGGCTCCCAGATGGGACAGTCAAGCAACAGGAGGGCAATCCCATGGAAATCAACTCCAGGGACTTACGTGGGACCTAGGCTCTCTCTATAAAACAGGGACAACAGTGGTAACCTCTTAGAGCAGTCTAGGCAGTAAGTGAACTATTGTGAAAAGCCCAGGATAGAATAGCATCCGAAACGTGCAACTCAGTAAGTATTATTCTTGAGGTTCACGTTGGAAAAAACAGTCTGTGTAGTCCTCATCAAAGTGATTTGCAAATATAACTACACGTGGCAGCCTCCGCACTTCACACACTGGGTCTGTGTCTTCTCCTTGCTGCCAGGAGCCTAGGGCTGTGCACATGCTAAGTTCATGCTTTATCCATGAGCTCCATCCCCAGCTTGTGGGTCTGGGTTTTTAAAACAGAGGTTCAACCTGGGCATGGTGGTGTATGTCTGTAAACGCAACACTCATGAGGCTGAGACAGGAGGACTACTGTGAGGAGGCCAGCCTGGACTACATAGCAACTTCAAGGCCAGCCTGAACTATACAGCGAGATTCTATCTCAAAAAATATAATATTATATTAACTTGCAATAGTTCATAAAGATCTAGTCTCAAAAAAACCCTTACACCAAATATTCACCTTAAATTAATTTATAGAACACTTTAGGAACTCCAACCACAAAATTTCAAAGTAGACATGCCTGTCTTTCTCATGAGAGAAAACACAGAGAAACAGCTTTGGAAGAAATCACACAAGTGACAGGCAAACGGCCCTTCATTAAGGAGACATTCGGACTCCAGGCGAACTTCTGAGAGGCAGAGGTCATCCTTAGTTAGCCAGTCCTAAACCCTTAACCTGCAAGCCAGGGCATCTTCTTAAAACTGCAGCTTTAAGCAGTCACCCTGCACAGGGTTCCACGCCTCTCCAGGTACCCTAAGTCCACTTGTGCTGAACAATCAACCCCTCAACTAAAACTTTAAGATCTTTAACTGGAAGTAAATGCACGCATAATGAAGAGAGTAAAATCATGTGAAAAGCAGGCACCTACTGAAAGAATCTCTCACAAGCTACTGACTGTTTAAAAAATTCTCTTTCACAATTATACCAGTCTGCAAATGCACACTGGTCTTTGAAAATGAACAACAGAAGAGAAAGTTCTGAGTCTCCCCAAAAATAATGAGGAACAAATTACATAATCACTTTTTAAAAACTGCTAGTCGACTGCATAAAAGTAACTGAAAGCATTTTTCTGCTGGGTATCTGCACATCCCAAGAAAAAGTGCGGCATCTGCAAGGAGCCCACTGAGGCTCACCCTCTCATCGCAAGCACTGAGAGCCGCAGGGTCCCAGCACATTCTAGAGCTGCAAGTCACTCATACCAGTCAAATTCATGTACCCAAGAGGTGCACAAAGCAAGCCACGCTGCCCAGTGAAGGCAACACAGCGCACCCTGATACAGCCATGACGGCTTGGAAGGGGCCGCAGAGAGGACAGCAGGAAACCAGCGGCAGCGCGTAATGTCAACAGCACATCCTCTCAGCAAGGAACGAGGCACGGAAAAAGCCTTTAAGTAGTGGAAAAACTTGACTTCAGCACCACTAGGAGTATTCTGGAAGTGATTTCAGTACACAGAGTGTCGTACTATCGATTACTGAAACTTGTTTAAAGGAGTAAATGTATATCCATGGCCTGTATTAAATACAAATAAACAGGCTCCCAAGACTCACAGTGCAGACTAAGTGGAAACTCTAAGTCTCATTTATTTTATGTACCATATGTGCCCAGGATCAGGTTCATGAGCCACGGGGCTCCAGTTTCTTCACTCAAGGGAAAGAACAGCCGCCTCCTGGGACAGATGGGCACAGAAGCTGAGACACTGAGGACATGGACACTTCTGCCAACCTGCCCTGCCCCATCTCCAGGTTCTCCAAGACTCAGGAATATACAATCAGCCAGTTTATTAAAGTCAGTAACTCTAAGAGGAAAATCAGAAACTCTACTCCATCGTACAAAAACAATGGCATGCATTGCAATTAATAATATTTTAGAAGCAGCCTTTCTCAAATTTGATTGTAATTTACATGGGAGGTGCTGCGTGAGCATGAGAGTGACATTCTCTGCCCAAAAACAGCTCCCACGAATGTGACCAAGTAAAGCTCAATTGTTCACTGGCATGTTGTGCTGTTATTAATGTAATCTATGTGCTAAAAGAAGCCCATGTTAAAACGGCCCCGGCCCAGCCCAGGAAGAGTTTGGATGACCTTTGTAGAAGGACCCGGCCACAAGGGCACAGCCTTGGACTCTCCTACTCACGACACCCACTGTCTGCTGAAGGGCGTATGTGCAGACCTTTGCTTCCCATCTGAATTCTGACCTTTCCTGGCCAGTGACAGGTGACTCTTCTGATACTGAGCAGGACAGTGATGAGGAAAACAGCCAAAGCTCTAAATGAACCACACTACTGAGCTGTGAGGTCCAGCATGTTACCTGTTCCACGTTACATGTGTGAAGCACGCTCTCCACTTGCAATAATTTCACTCTGTGAGAGGTTTACAGGAGGGACACCTCCCCATTGTGGAAGTCACAGAGGAGTGTGCGTGCGCGTATGTGCGCATCCATGTTATGTACAGAATTCCTAGCACGAAGGCACTTGGATTCCAGGCGACTGACTGTGGCTTGTGAAAAGAAATAACCTTTCTGTCCAAGGAACGACTCCTACAGCTGTGGAGCTTAACCAAAACATGGTGTACCCCCAGCTCCACAGCTCCTCTTCATCCTAACTTTGAGCTCAACAAGCAGTGTTCTCACCGATAATCAGCCTGGCCTGAGCACAGGAGCACAGGCTTGCTCCAAAAGCAGACACGGCCCATCTGTAGGAGGGAGAACCAGGGTTCCTACAGGGCCAGATCAGGATCACTAAGGCCTCTGGTGAGAAGCCCTCTGAACCTCGGGCCTGGGAGGACCCTGCCAAGCTGTAAGGCCAACTACCAGAAAGGTTCCAGGAGACACAGTGGGGGAACACACTGTATGCAATGCGCTGAAGCCCAGATCCGTGTCATGCACTTTAATTCACTCACAGGAGAGCCTGCTGCATCGGCACTGTCTTCTGCCATCTAACACAATAGACATGACTTGTGCATCTACACCCACCAGTGATCTCCATGACCCAGAACTGTAATTCGGTTTCCTTCCTGTATTCTACAAGTAGTAACACAGTACTTATGAACAAAGTCCAGAACATCAGACTGAAAAAGAGATGCTTACCTCTTCGTGTACATTCTTTATGAATTATTAACTCTGAAATACAAAGTAGGGGGGTTGGTACAACTGACTTACAGAGTTTCATCATTTACAGAAAAAAACGACACAATTCAGTAAGCCACATCTATTTGAAAAAATAAGCACGAGAACAATGTAATATTGTGTACCTTAGAATACATTACTACTTCATTAAAACAAGGGAAAGCAATTCTTTTCCTAGAGGTTTAAAAACATATTAATAAGAAAAAATATTAGCAGAGATCACAGAGCCCACAAGACTGACTGTCACACCACCTTTCCTGATGACAAGAGTTTTTGTTTAATTTTCTGTCTTTTAATTTTCTTCCAGACAAATACGCCATCTATGAAAGAACCAAGGAACAGGAACATTCTTCTGTCTTCTGGCATAAAATAAGGAAACCTCCAAAGACAGCAAGTATCAGTGCACAGGTCTAGAAGACGGGAAAAGCAAAGGGGAACCAGGCTGTACCACACACCACAAAGCTTCAACTGGACAAGTCTGAGGAAAATCTAATTTTGTGCAAAAATAGAAGAGTTGAGTGAGCAGGGTTCAAGTGCCAAAAGAAAGGTGCTGCTCACAGCATGACTCTGAAGAAAGAGGAAAGCCAAGCCTCTGGAAGTGGTCCTGGCCTCAGAGGCATCTCAGCTGCAAAGACCATTTATAGTCATCTCCCTTGCAGAAGGCCAGTCTTCCTGCAGCCCTAAGCAAGGAAGAAGAGAAAATCTGTTTCATTTGTCCTTCACCACTGCAGCCCCAGGATCCTTGTCAAATGAGCACTTTTGAACATATTCAGGCCTCCTAGTTAAATGTTAAGCAAACAACAGTCACACTCTTCATGTAGCATGTTGTTCTATTCTAATACAAACAGGCCTAATCTTGCCCATTAAAAAAAAAATATCTCGCAGCCTCTCCCAAAATGCATGCGAACCACTACTGAATGTTTGCATCTTCCTAAAATCTCTATGCTATGTTGGTGTGAGGCCTTCATGGGTTCAGCAACCATCCTTACAAAAAAGGCTAGGAGACCCCTCAGTCCCTTCCACATCTGAGGGCAGGATGAGCAGGTCCAGACAGCACCCCCAGTCTGCTGACTTCTGATCCAGAGCCATGAGAAACACATCTCTGTGGCTTATAAGGTATCCAGTCGATGGTAGTTCTGTTAGAATAGCCTGAGCAAGCTAAGAGCATGGGGATAAGAGAGTAAGATATTCAGCTGATATATCTTCAGAGAAACAAGTAAAAGAGTGCATATAAAAATATTTTATTGATGAAGGATATTAAAAGTTGCTATTATATTTTCATAATATGTATCTGTGCACATAAATATCACATAAAATGGATTTAATGAAAGCACCAAAAACGGTAAAGAGAGGACAGGCACTGTTTCGCTGCAACTCTAGAATCTTGCATTTCCAGCACAATGTCATCTTCCAGGAAGGAAGTCACAGGCAAAGGCCGCCCAGGCTGCAGGCCTCCCTTACTGGCCCCCAACTGTCTGATCTACTTCCCCCACACCCGAGCTGAAATATCTGCAGCTGCTCCTCAAACAAAACTGTAAGGCGCAACTCATCTGCTGAATGGCCTTAAAACAAATCCATCACAAGACTACAGAGCTTTGGGACAGGCATTATTTTAAAGACTGAATTTAGGTTTCTCCACTGCCTCTTCCACAGGGAATGTAAAGAACCTGGAGGGACAGAAGGACTACAAAATGGGTCTGTCACACCAGGGAAAGAGAAGAAGCTCTTGGATGTGAAACTAGGGGAGCTGCCCGGCTGGAGACTGATGCAGGATTTCACCCCTACAGGCAGCCCTGAAGCACTTCACAGAAGTCACTACCGGTATTACAATACGTTCATCAACGTGAAAAAAGGGGGCATCACTGGGCTTAAGATGGTGCTGGCGGCCTCTGTGCTCTGTGGGCCACTGCCTTTCCTTCAAGGAACTCAAACATGAGCCGCCACAAAGTAGCACTGAGCAGGGGCTGGTGTAGAGGGCACACTCTGCACTCTGAAGTGCAACTGCCTCATTCCGCTTCCTTCTGTGAACAGCTTCATCACGGCTCACAGATTAAGGGAGAATCAACAGTAAAAGATGACCAGGACAAGTTAAAAAAAAAAAAAAAAAAAAAAAAAAAAAACACTGGAGAAACCGAGCTGGCATCGGCACACCTTCCCCCCACCTGCGCCCTCACTCACATCAGCAATTCCATTTCCCAAGCAAAAACCCTCTCTGAACCCACTGAACCATCCCTCTGTCATTAAAGCCTGTCCTTCCACACATGCCATCTTTTCTCAACAGCAACAGTATCAGAAAATACTGAGTTAGCATTCGCCATGGCCAGGCAGTCATCTAAGCACCTTCATGTATAAGTTCATTTGCTCCCCACTGCAGGTCCAGGGGAGAGTGCTGTCCTGCAGGTAAGAAACCCAAGGCCCCTCGTAAACCAGTCCTGGTCCCACAGTACACAGGGCCGGTGAGGACCCACGCCGGTGGCCCAGTCTAAACTGCAGAACACCGGGCACTTCAGGACACGCAGCTCCCGAGCTCGGCACGCCTGCCGGTCCCGCGTGTCCTCAAGCTACTTCCTTCTTCAGCTGAGCGCCCTCTCAGCCCAATAAACAACGTATCTGCCTGGAACTGAAGGCAGAACTGACTACGACTGCCATCCCCTTTTAATTTATTAGGCGCTGTGTGCAGCGCACCATGCTAACATGCCTCATGGGCAGTTGGTGCTGTACCAGGACACCATCGTTCCTTTTCTCATCCCCTTCCTTTCTCCTTCCACTTCGTGATCCCCTTCCCATTTGCGAAACATCTCCCTCCATACCTCACTCCCGTTATTTTATTTTAACTCATGGGATTCCTCTCAGAAGAAAACCATGCAATGCTTAACCTTGTGTGTCTGATTTACTTCATCTGACATTATGGTGTCGAGGTACATTTATGTTCCTATAAATGACTCAAGTTTCTCTTTATGGCAGACTAGTACTCCACTGTGTGCAAAAAGCAAATTCTTTATCCATTCATCTGTCAGTGCATGTATAGGCCACTTCTGAGGGTTAGCTCCTATGAGTTGTGCAGTATAAACATGGGCACACATGTAACATGATGTCTTTAACTCTTCTGGGAAAATATCTAGAAGCAGAATAGCTGAGTTCAATGGAATTTCTAGTGTTAGTCTTTTGAGGATCTCCATACTGACTTTCACAGTGGTTGTGGTTAAAAAGATTTTTAAAAGAGCCAGAGATGTAGCTCAGTGAGAAGTATGATTCTGTGAATTTATTTTTAACAATACTTGGTCCAATGTTTGTGCATTTGGTATTCCATAATGCCTGCCCCACTCAGTAATTTTTCATCTGAAGCAAAGAATAAATAAAATAAGAAGTAGCCCATAAATCTGGGCATCGTTTCCATTCCACAATGCCAGGGAAGATGACAAGTGAAGCTCAGCGGTGCATGAAAAGGGATTATTGTGTGCACTATCACCAATCACCATCAGCAAGATGGCTGAGGACAAGTCCACGGATTCCTGTGTCTCCAGTTCTTAGCAGCAACAGTTTCAGGATGCACTTTCCAAAGGAGACATTGTGTTCAGATGCAGTGTTACCAGGGAGACTATTTTTTTTTTTTTTTAATGTCAACTCTGGGTCTCATTAGAAAAAATAATATGGGGAAAAAACAAAAACATGCTGCTGGAGCCCCAGCGAAGAGTGCGCTTCAGTTGGCCTGGGCTAGGATCTCGCACAGGCGGCTTTAGAAGTTTTCCAGATGACCATAATATACAGCTGCGCTTGTGAGGCATAGTTTAAACATCATCCTGAGCTTCTTAAACTGTAATGAACACACAGGTTACCTGAGGATCGTACTTAGATGCAGAGCCTGACTCCAAACGTGGAGGTACAGCCAGGAGTTAGGGTTAGTTAGCCCTGTACATGCTCCAAGACAATGCTGCATCTACTGTGAAAAAGTGCAAAAGACAATAGGATGCAAGGCACTGTACACTATGTTTTGCTTATGTAAAAGAGACAACCAATTTTGGGAAAGCAAATTGAACCCTCTAGAAATGATCAGAGAAAGTAAACTGAGAAACTCAAATGCATGCAGACTGCTCCAGGCAAGGTAAATATTGTGTAAGTACCAGCTAGTCCATCACTAGTTTATCAACCAGTGTACTAAATAAGATGTAGCTATCAAGAAAACTGAACACAGATAGACATTTCTTTTTAAAAAATATGGCTTCTATCTTCAGTCGCCTATGTCATTCTCCTATATTTAGACCATTTCATGTGAGATAAAACGTTAGCCACATCAACAAAATCTGTATATTTGATAACATATCAGATCTGCTTTAAAATATTGCCACAAACAAGAATAAAAAAGCACAAAGGTAATGTAGTAAAATCTCCATAATTACCCTGTGGGTAAGTACACAGGGCTGACCATCCTCTTCTGATAACTTATATGTCTATTTGAAACTTTCCGAAATAAATCTTCAGTTTTGTTTTGGAATCCTAGCTACACCACTTGTTGGCTGAGTCACAAGCAAAGGAACCTCTCCAAATCACAGACCTCAAAGTGGGTTTCCACCTTAACCACCTCACAGGACCACCTTGCAGATTATAGAAAATAGCAAGTTTGAAAACTCCTGACACCAAACAGGTCACTTTATAAAGATAAACTTAACTTTAACCCAGATGAGTCCAAAGTAAGGACAGTAAGAAGAGTTAAAGTACTCCCCAAATAGGAATACTTGAAGATTAAAGCGGATGCACCGTTATTACGCCATCTCAGTTCTTTCCATTGCCCTGCCCTGACACTGACACTCTGCACCAGATTCCACCAGAAACAGCGACAAGGTCTGCAGTGCCACATCCTGAGACAGATGCTCAAGGTGGCTAGCAGCGTGACAACACAAGCAAAGGAGGACAGCCCAGAGACAAATACCCTTCTGATTGCTACACACTCTTGCGGTGTCTACAAGCAACACAGACTTCCTTCCCACTCACTTTCCATTTGCCAACATCCTTGAGCAGTAGCCAGGGACACAGCAGCTCAGAGGGAAAGTAGGAAAGTAACACCTTGAATACAGGCCAAATCATCAAAAGCAATGTATCACTTCAGGAGCTGTCTTTCAAAAGACATATTTCAAACAAGAACAGATGGTACCCTTTATTGTCTGCAGCATAATTACATAATCATTTAAAAATATACATTATTGGTGATAATTTCACCATCCTGGAGAAGACTCAGATTATCCACACAACCTCACAGTTGGAAACCTTGAGGACGAGCAAAGAGCACAATTTTGCCCATGTGGTCATGATACACATAAATGTGACAGGCACAGTACTGACAACAGTGAGTGAACACAAAACAGCTCCAGAAGCGCTGTCTTGCGTCTGAAGATCTGGCCTATCTTCAAGGTGTTACTTTCCTCCTAAAGAAACAATTGATGTGCAGTCCCACTTTTAATAACATGTAGAAACAATCGCATAAGACACCTTCCTTCTGTTCTCGCCCACTGAATTCTAATCAGGTGTGTTACCTGGTGAGAGTCTAGCATGCTTCCTTCCAGAGGAAAAATCCTAAAGACTGAACATAAAACAAGTGCACCAGTCTCCCTCATCAGGTACAGAAGGAGCACGGTGAAGCTCAGAACTGCACGTTCCAGGGGAATTCGTACAAGAAGCACTCTTTATTCTAATCTCCTACTTTAAAATTTTCTCAAGACACATTCACATTTTTAAAAACAGTATCCACACTTGTCTCTTGCATATTTTATTAACCTTGTTCACACATAGATCCACTGGAATATTTAATTGTTGGTTATTTTGTTTATTTGTTGGTTATTTGGTTTAATTGTTGGTTACTCATTTTCATACAAACTTGTCAGCATTTAAATTATCTATCTTGTAGCATTTAAATTATCTATCTATGCAATAATAAACATTGAGCATGGTTATATCTCTCCATTTCCTTGTAAGGTAAAGCTTATTTCAGGCAAGATCTGGCTTCAAATATTAAGATAAACACACACAGCAGGAAAGTTGTATATTTTGTTTTTTCAATCCATGAAGACCTTACTTTTGGATAAACATAAATGAACCAAACAAGAACTGTCAATAAAACACCCTAGCCTAGCCGTACTTCCATTTAAGAGTCAAAGTCACTCAATCTTTCTTCTATATGTTAACAAGCACCTTTATGAACAACAACTTTGAAAGTCACACTGAAGATCAAGTTTCACAAAAATGCCCCAGGGGGAAGAAAGTGAAAATATGAACCCAAGCTGATCCAGCGGGGCATAAATTTTCTCACAGGCAGAGATTTTCACAAAGAAGCACAGCAAAATAAGAGGCTCCACCAGGAAACTGGCATCTCTTGGATTGAAATCCCAGGGACCAGGTAGGTGCTGAATCCCATCTTATTAAGAAACTTAAGTCTAGGACTTGCAACTCCTACAAGTTTCCCAGTTCAAAGCAGATTCACTGGATCAGAAATACATTCACCAATCATGGACACAAGAAACAAACTTCTCAAATCACCTGACTTGGAAGCATTAAAATTCTGGATCACTTTTTTCTCTTCAGCAATTTCTTTTCAATAATCAGTTTTAAACTGCAATTGAGCTAACCTTAACTAAGCATGTGGCGTAAGATAATGGTTAAAAGTAGTAAATGAAAAGTTCTGATCTCAAAACAATTCACATTTGCATCTAAAATGTTACAACAAAACCACATAAACGCCCTCCTCCAAATGTTTCATGTGATGTCTCCTTGAAGTGGCTTTCACTTTAGCTATGTGTGGCTTCCTTTGCTTTAATGACAAAAATAGGAACATGAACACAAGAAAGCAAACTCGTAGGCTAGCAATTGCAACAACTAGCACTAGATTTACTTTTCACAGTTTTTAACCCAGGGGGAAAACTCAAGGTCAAAAAAAAAAAAAATAGTTCTCGTAAGGAAGGCGTGGTTAGCACTTCACTTCCTGTTCTGGGCTAACTTGTGTTGCACATCAAGACAAGGTCAGCAACGCAAGGTCTTGGTTGTAGTCCAGTCTCACTGTGCATCAGCCTTGACTACACATCTCTCGGAACACAAAAATATTTTACATTAAAGTACCAGACCTTTCTCCTCCAGGAAATAGACCACTGATATTCCACAAAAATGATTTCCAGCAGTAACCATGTTCTACATAAAGACAAATGTCTAATAAAATCTATTTGCTATCAATTCACTGAGACTGCCTAATAAATGTGTCCCAGTGAGGAGCCTATGGTTAAAAACTCGAAGCCTGCTGTCAAGAATATAAAGTCCAAATCCCTGCCATGCCACTGGCTCCACTCCATGCTCTTGCACAAGGTATTTAAAAGGAGACAATCCACAGGTAAGGCAGAGACATAATGTCATTAACATTTTAGAGTAGAAAGGTCAAAAACCATGAAGGCACTTTATTACTTATTTACTTTGAGCAAGTTCCAACACAGAAGCAAAATGGCCTACAAATGAACAAACTGTTTTCTTCAAATACAAATGTAAAATACTACAAACTATTGTCAATAAAACATACATAAGCTCTCTAATCATCATCCCTGGAAAATGTAGTTCTTCCTCTCTAAAATTACAGAAGATAAAAATAAAACACAATGTAGGTAGGCAAAGACACTAGACATTTTTACGAAATTTATCATTGCAAAGAATGGCTTCTTGTTAACGCAGGTGAGAATCTTTCCCGGGCCACATATGCAGAACCTAAAACTCATTCAAATTTTCTCCAAGTATACTCCAATGTACTTAGCTTGGTAGACAGGTTTAGTTAAATACTTAGACAAATCTAAGGTATAAAATTGGAGCATATACTAAAATAAATAGGTACAAGAATCTAGGTTTTTTTTTTTTTTCATCTAAAAGGCTATCAGAGGACAAGCTTAGTAAGATTAAATCACACTGAGGTATTATCTTATATTTTATGCCTAGAATTAAAAAATAATTATAAACTCCATAATGAAGAACTGCCTTACATACATATGTCACATGAAAATGTCCTTGGAAGGGGGCAGGAAGGTAAGGTGACCCTTGAATCAATTCTTTAAATTAGGTAAGTAATTTGACTTAGGCTACATCAACAGAAAATCATGGACCAAAAAAAAAAACCACTAGGGATAGGGGTATAGTTCAGTGACACAAGCGTCTATCTGGCAAGCACAAGATCCTGAGTTTCATTCCAGTTACCGAAAAAAGAGACAGACAGACAAACAGGCAGGCAGACTACTAACGCTAACAGGAATATTTCTCCAATATTTTACTTTTAAAATGCTGAGTTATGTGCCAGGCATCATGATAAGCACTAAGGAGATCAACTGGGTAAGACACCACCTCAAAGATATCAGTTAAGGAGAGAAGAAATAGTACAGAGGTGTGCCAACTACCTTCAGAGTAGTTTTGCAGGAGACAGAGACAGAAAATTCCAAAAGTTTTGTATGGAAAGTCTAGTTTGGACTTTTATGTAGTTCAGTTCAATCAACTTTTACTGTATATCAAACATACACATACTCAGAATACATATATGAGTAATAATGCTCTTCTTGTGCTCAAGAATCTAACCCTAACAAATTGGAGACGTGAATTGACTAGGTTTCATAAAATAAGGTTCAGATATATGAAGAAGTCCGACAAATCAATAAGGAAAAAATCCCTGGATACCATACAGCTACCAATGCACACAGCAGCGGCAAACACAGTGGCATAATCAGTTGTTCACTTTATAAGGGAAAAAATATGCTAGAAACAATGTGACAAAATGAATGCACATGGAGGAGAAGACTGGTGTGGGGAGGCAACTGCAGCACAGCCAAAGCATAGCAAAAGGTCCCATCTTCACGATGTCGCCAAGTGCCTGGATGGATGGATGGATGGATGGACAGACAGAGATCACATCACCCAACCCAGGAAAGCTGGAGAAGATCTCCCAGCTTATTTCCGTCCCCCTCATCCATAGCAACTGCAGGAAGGTCTGAGAGACAGTTGCAGATATAGACATTCTGCTCATCCTTCTAGAAGCAGTTATCAACCCTGTGAGAATAAGGAGACAACATGGGCTGGGACAGCCTGCAGGCTACAGCAGAACAGAACATTGAGGGGCTGACAGACATGCCAGAGAAAGTGGAAATCCATGACGACAGCTAGCATGATGTCTCTAGGAGAAAGGAGTGGCCTAGTATGCCCTGAGCTACAGCAATCAACAACAGCCAGCCACTAGCTGACCTCTGTCACCTGTCAGGGTGGAAAGGTAGAGGGCCCCACACCACAGCAGGATGAGAGCAGGCCAGGGAGGAAGTGTAAACTGTTTGCAAATCATTTCTAGATTTGGAAAGCTGGGCTTTCCAACAACAGAATAACCATACCTGGCACATACTGAAGGCTCTTTCTCAGCAGGCACTAGGTGAGGCATGTTCTGTACAACTCCTCTCACCATTACAAGTGGGAAAAACTAGTTTTATCTTTAATTCTGAGGAGAAGAACGCATTGCAGCTGGATGCATGACCTGGACAAAGAAACGTAAGATGTCCTTTCCACACTGATGCTGCCTCCCTGTCTGTCACTGGAGTTGTTTTTTTGTTTTTGTTTTGTTTTGAGGGCAGCCAGTGGCTGCTTACCCAGCTAACAGGAACATCTTTGTTCCCTGCAATGGCTGAACCAGCTGACTTTTAGTCACTTCCACCTTTCACAGCCACAACTGTCTCACTATATTCTGGGCAAGGTCAGTGGTTAACGGCTGCAAAATTCCAGGTTCAAACGTATCACTCTCCACAACTTTTTTCAGATCACCTTTATCCTGAAAGAAGCTCAATGTCCTAACATTTGCCTATATACACTTTACTTAGGAAAATTAATATTGGTTACATTTACATATTTTTGCCAAAACTGACAGTACAATCTTCAAAGATGGTTAATCAGCATCTTTTCTGCATTCTCGCAGCAGGCTACAGCTTTGCTAGTAATTACACCCACCGTGGTATGAAGCCCACCCCGAGCTCCAGCTAGGGGCCCTGGCCTTCCCATATTCTCCCCTCACAGACAAGGAGGAAGCCAGTAAGCAATGAGCACTAAACTCTGATGCCCACACCACGAGGACCGACAGCCAGGAAAGCAGAGGGTTTGCAAGTAAAAGAAGTATCTGTGGACAGTCATCCTGCACTCAAGGGTTCACCTTTTACCATGATGCTAGATGGAGGAGGAGACAATGTACGAAATTAGGTGATGCTTAAAAAGACAGGATATGACTTTAAACCAACACATAAAAGGTTCATTCTCGAAATGTTCCTTAAGAACAAGCTTTCTGCTATGTCCAATACTACTAAATGGAAGAAAATTCAGTCATTTCATGAAGTGCATTTAAAGATCTATACTTTTGAAAATTCTATCTGAAAAAAATCAATTTATTGAAATAAATAAAGCTGGTCCTGGCATCTCAGGCCAGGAGGCCCCTAGATGTGTAAGGAAAGGTTCTGCAGCATGCTTGGAAACTACCCCCAGAGCCCACGTAAATGATTCAAGGATTGCTCAGTTTACAAACCACCTAGCAAAGGCACGGTCTCCCATGACAGGGATCAGCCTTTCTGTCCACGAGACCCACATGAGTAGACACTAGCATGCATGGGTCCAGATTTTAATTCATTGTTATCAAAAACATCCAGGGAGATACAGAGAAGAGTGGAAAACCAGGTGTAGGCACATAGCAGGATCTGCAGGCTGCAGGTCACGATATATCTGCTATCATGCCTACAGCATCATCGTTTCACATGAGAACACTGAAGGTTGGTGATGTCTGGCGCCGAACCAGAATCCACTCTAGCTCACATGTAGGCATGCTTAGTCACACGCAAAAGTCTACATGTTGTTACTGGTAGTTAATACCTCAGCACTGAGTATCACACACCAATGTGCTATGTCACACCTCTTTCAAGCATTAGGGAAACTTACCCCTGGCATCCAATTACCACTACACAAACCCATTGAGTTACCAAAATCCAAGGTCTGAAGGGTTGTTTAATCAAAACTTTCAAAAGTCCAGGCACAGAAAAAGCAGGCCCAAGAGGCAGCTTGGCTGTGGCAGGGTTTCCACAACAGTGTTCTGAAGAATAAATAGTGGTCACGGCCTCTCAGTGTCCCTGCACCACTCCCAGGGTGCCAGGCTGGACTCCTGACTTTACTTCTTGCCTGTATGACAAATAAAAGGCAAAAGCAACACCTGTAGAAAGTCAGTGTTAACACACACCTACTTTCTGGGATGTGCCCACTTACACAGAATCCGTGTCAGACACCTTGAAGGTGCAGACAAAAGAGTTTCAGTGGAAAAAGCATTAGGACCAAGAGCATCTGGGTCTTGCCATGGTGAACCCCATCCTGCCAAGCGCACCTACAGTTGCTAGATGTGCCCCTTCGACAAACTGAGCCCTGGCGCTTGAAGGTTAACATGAGCATTAGGAAGAGCCTGATGGAAGAATGGAAGGAGCTGAGCTCAAGTGCTAAAGCTACATAGAAGGAGAGCTGAGATGAACTGCATTCACTGCACTTCTGAGGGATCCTGTCAGCCCAGGATTGAAAGGAAAGCCACTGCACTGTCCGGAGCCGGAGACCATCCTGTGTGGGGGAAATGGCCTGAGACTCACCCCTGGGAAACTGTTTTCCATACCAAGTGATCTCCCTTGGGGAAAACTGACAAGACAAGACTCATTCTTTGACCCACAAGATGAAACTAGAAATAAACTTGTGTGTCCAACTGGAACTGCAGTCAGGTACACAGAAACACTTCTTTCCGGCAGAGCTGTCCAGGATGAGGAGGGGTCCTCCCCTCGTTTCCCATGGCTTGTGCAGCAGGCTTTAACCTGCCAAAGGGGGTAAAGGGATGGGGCTACTACATTTGGGGTGCCCTTTCCAATCCCAGTAGTCAAACGTGCCTATTGTGCATAGGCTCAGCATGGGGAGGTATAATGGGTTAAGGGTCCATTCTGCTACCCAATCCTTCTCCCCAGCTCGGGGCCCATAGCGGGCCAGGCTTTCCAGGTTTCCAGCTTAAAAAATTGTTCATGTTACCTTTCAAACTTCTTTAGCAAAGTGGTGTATATTTATAGTAAAAATACATATGAATCATTTATTCTTTCCACTTAGAAGAGCCCTGATAATCTATTCCAGTGTTTAATGTCCCCACCTGGTTAAGAAATGTTAACTGTGGCCCTCAGCTTCTGACATGCCCAATGCCATTCCTCCTCCTCAGCTGGGCGGGGAGGGGTTGATGGAAACACTGCACTTGAGAATTTACCTACACCTAGGCTTAGCTGGGTTGCCTGACTCCACTCCTGCCACAACCTAAAGTCCTCTCAAGGGGAGTTTTGAAAACGCATTCCTGCCCTTCACACTTCCACTGCTGGACGGACATGTGGAATGCGACAGAATGCTCAGGAAGAGCTCTGAGCACCCTGTGAACAGAGATACTCTCCCTATCAGCAAATGCGAGCAGACAGCATGCCACGATGTCACGTGGGAAACCGGAGTTCCCCTGGACTTCAATGCCTGAAATGAACCTCTTCAGTAGCCGGAAGACAGACTTGATCCTGGTAGAGAAGGGACAGGAATGAAAAGAAACGAGCTAGGACAATCCCAGCTGGCGAGCTTTCAAGTGAAGCCACAGGGCCAAGGCTGAGCCAGTGCAGGGTCAGCGGCCCACAGGAAGAGCAGAGCCTCACTGCACTGCTTGGTGATTGGTATCAATGTCAGGGCTGAGCTTCTCTAAAAAACGGTCACAGGAGGCCAGAGGCTGGGCCTACCTGCATGCACCAACTGTTTTACTCTGCAGTTCTCCAATTCTGATTCACATGCACATGTGCACTGTGAAGTCTAGACTGGACTTTGCAGCTCTGGCCACACAGCACTCCCTTAACCCAGTGTCTTCACTGCTCATCTGAGGAAGAAAATGACCTGCACACCTCCGCCCCATATGCCCGCTGGAGACCATGCCCACCACCCCTGCAGACTGTCCTCAACAGGCTGACTAGCAGGCAGGAGCCCCACACACACCCCAAAAGAGCATTTCAAACTCATGTGTCCACAGCACTCAAGCTTACAAACTGAGAAACTCACCAGGTATTTGTGATCTGGCCATGACTTAAGAGCTACAAAATTTCAAAACAGAACTCCCTAATTTGAAACCGTAAGTCATCTTATCCTTCATCTACTACTTTACTGATTTAACAAACATGAATCAATGTCTACTGCACATAAATGTCTGTGCTAGGGCTGAAAACATGAAATGAGGGGAGCCAGGCTCCCTATCCAGGGCTTGCTACCTGCTGGGGAGAAGAGGGCACCAAGCAAACAAACCTCTCCACAACCGGCCCCCCAGGTGACCCACGTGAGGTGCAGGCAGAAGCGCCTCCAAAGGAGATGAGAGGAGAACTGCAGACAGGATGAGGAGAAACAGACTGCCAGGGACAACTGACCCCGCTGATCAGCCCACACATGGCAGGTGAGGACTTTAATAGCATTAAATATAAAGAACAAACCAACAGTGCCACTTTTTTTTTAATTTTAATTTTAAAATTTTAATTTTTTTATGAAAAGTAAACAAAAAGCAACACAAACTTGAAATCCTGACTTGAAATCCTGGTTACATCATTTTAAGGAATGTATAGTGCTCTTAATTTGATAAAATAGCATAGCGTACAAGATGTTTAAAAACAAATTTCAACAGAAGGGCCCAAAGCCCACTGATGAGAGAATAAGCCGTGAGAGCTGGCGACACTTCCGCTAAGTGTCTCACAGCCAGCCCCTGTGCTGCTCCACTGGACAGCACTCAGTGAGGAGGGTGGCAGGTCATTCAGCAAGGCCGAAATTCACACTCTGAGATGTCCACAGACAGCACTCTTTTCTTAGTTTGTTTTTGTTTTGTTCTTCTCATAAAGTTTGCCAGCTCATTTTCTCTGAATCTAAACCTAGGCAATAATTAAAATACATCAATCACCCCATAAAGCCAACACTGAGTGATTAACATATCTTTTCTCATTTGTCAGGAATTGATTAGCCTAAGGGAAATACAACAGAAACTGAAAGACAGCTTTCAAGTCCAAGCCAATGGGCTAAGGTGAAGAGAATTTTACTTTTGTTCAGGAGACACGATGTCAGTTCAAATTATCAAGCAACAAAACCGCACCCAACCTGGCAGTGTCACCTTATTATTGCCTTCTCAGATCTGTTCCTGCCTCCTGCCTTGGCTGGAGAAGGAAGTATCCCGCTCAGCTCACCAGTCACCTTGCAGAACCATTTGCAAAGAACCAGAACTTCATCAATAAAACTCAAGATAAACATGGAATTTGAATTGCTTCAGAAAATACATGAGAATGGTACAGTGCCCATTCAGTGGGAAGCTACTCAATGACTAATAAGCAAGGCAAAGTGCAAGACACCATGTCCAGTGGCCGTATGTTTCAAACTAAAACTGACTATGCAGATTAATAGTTTTACACACTTTCAAGGACATGCAGCAACCTAGGAGTACAGTTTAGAAATGACATAGTAGACATTCTCATTTTTTAACACAGAAATAACTGAACATGTTGCATCAGAACTTGTAACTCCTCCCCACCGCAAAAAAACTGAGGCAAACAGTCACTGTAGAAAGAGACGCACAATTTTAGAGCTGAAGGCAACATTAATTTAGTTCCATGCAAATAAAGCGCTCTCTGCATGTCACACATCAGTCTTCGGGTTTCACAACTGTTGAGAAACTGGCAAACACTGTAAAGGAAGGGTATGTCATAACTTAGGGGGCAGCTTTTAGTTACACTCTTTTTCAGACACATGCAACAGTTTCAGATGCAAGACAGATTTAACAGAAATAGACAGATCATGTTTCTTTTTTAAATCTTAAAAAGAAGGAAGAATAACCATCTTTAACACTGGAGTTCCAATGGATTTTCTGTGAGGCAAAAGCAAAGACTGGGGGAACAGTAAGGAAAACAAACAACAATTTCCATTCCTCCCTGTGATGGTCTCAGAAAGAAATCACCTCAATTCCAAAAATGAGGCATTTTAATATCTTATGTTTACTTCCTCAGTCCAAGTTTTTAGTTTTTTAATGTATGATACTATTGCTACCTTAGCACATATATGTCAAAATAGATTGAGATCCCAGCAATGGGTCCCAGGCCTCTAGTCTTACAGTCCATCTGAGTTAAGGCATCATTTAGAACACTGAACCATGGAGGAATACAAAATGTTTAATTTTACTTCTTACCTGAAACATAACTGATAACCTCACACAATTGGCAGAAGTAGTGTAAAACAAAATGAACCAAAAAACACAGAAATATCATGAATACTAAAGATTTAACTTATCTTAAAGCCGAAGCTTTACTAATTTAAGATTTAATTTATCTTGCTTCCCTATTTACAGAAGGGTGAAATACCCAACAAACACTGGCTGATGTTCTCACCTGAGCTTTCTTTACCAATTAGCAAATTCCTCAACAGTGTAGGTCATTATCTGCAGGCTCACCATAGCACCCTTCAAAATAAAAGTGAATAAAACTCCTTCAAGGAAAGTATGCTAAGTTTATTTCCGTGTGTATATATTTACCTAAAAAGAAAACAGTATGTCATCAGTGAACCTTGAGTAAAAAAATCAAACCAACCAAACCACAACATTTATCACCAGAACATTATTATCTCTGGTAACACAAAAACGTAGCAAACTATTTTACATAGGAAAAATTTAATAAAACAAAACAAAAAACAAAGCGTGATGACATCTTAAATATACCAAAAACATGTCACTTTTCAAAATTTCCCAAGCAAGAAGAGCCACCTCTTTGCTTAAGGGACAGTGTGCATGCACTGCCCTGCATCTGTCCTATCTGGGCCACCTGAACCTATTATGTCTCCATTTCTTTAAATCTAAAGTAAACATCACCACAAGCTACTGTTGCAGACTCAGGCACTGATGGCTTTCAATAATATTGGTTCTTAGTATTTTCCAATGACCTAAAAATATACAAAATGTTGTCATTTGCAATTCTGTGTCAGTAACAGCTAACTCCCTTTGTATTCCCAAGGGAACAGAACAACTGCAACCACCCAGCCTCCTGGACCCCAGCCGCTGATTGTGGATCCTGGGTAGACTCGCTGTCCCCGTGTACAGAGAGCATCTGTCACATCATACGGCAACATAACCCCAAACATGCGGCTCATCACAGCCTCAGGAACAGCAAGAGACTGTCACACAAGCCAAACGCAGAAAGGTGCTGACATCTGACTAAATAATGTTTTAGTAATTACCAAATTCAGCATGATGAATCATCACCTTGCTTCATGGTTCTAGAGGTAACCAATACATTTTCAAAAAATGTTCAGAATAGTAATTTAACTCAATTTGCTGAAAGAGTATCTCTAGAAAAATGCTACTTGCCAATCAGGTCACTCCAAATGGATTCTTTATTTGGTTTCATAATTAGTTTCAAATTTACACATGGCTGACACAAAAAAGATAAGGAAAAGTATAAGAAGCCAATTATAAAAGTTATAATTGCACAGTATATTAAAGTCATATTGCCTATCTCTAAAATTATGAACAAAACACTTTATAAAGAAATATTTAAAAGGTATATTTAACTAAATATAAAATAAATGGTTGAGTAAACCTCATTAACTAAATTCAAAAGATTTCACATTTTAACTGAGTACCTGAAAATAATACACTGTCCATTTAAAGTAAGAGCTCTCCACACATCAAAAGCAAAACAAACAAAAAACTATCTTTTTATCCTTCTAAATGATGACATTTTAAAACCACTGGAATGTCCCTTAAATCCAGTCTTTGGTTGTTTTATACCTTAAATTTATAGTGTTTTGAAAAAAATCAATTTGTGCTATGGTTATTATTTTGTAGAAGTCCAAAAAGAAAGTACTAATGAATAAATCAACATGAATTTGCACACTGTTCCTAAGTCTTGACAGGGATTTGTTCTCTTAAGACTATTATCCATGGCAGAACTATGTCACTGGTAGTATTAATTAGATTAACAGACCCTTCTCTTCACATCCATTGCTAATGTAAACATTATCCAAAAACACTGATGTTTAATCATAATAAACTCAAACTAATAATACTGAATTAATGAAGTTTCCACTAAGCTCAACCATAAAAAAGAGACATATGACAATTCCACTGATAATTCTGTAAAATGACACTAATATCAATTCACAATGAGCTCTTAATATTTGAGAAACAGAATTATTTACTACTCCATTTCAATATCCAAACTTGACAGCCACTAATGATGTACTGTATTCTTGTTTTCTTTTTAAGTAGCAGTATCAGCCTCTCCCAGCCCAGCTGGGAACACTGGGGAGCTGAGTCCTAGTTTATCTAATAATAATGTACTTGCGCCGCCTTGCTTGTATGATCTTAGTTATCTCCCTGGAGTTTTCCTTTTGTAACTTGTCTACAAAAGAAAGATTATCTTCTAAGCTGGCAAGACAAACAACTCATTGCCATAGCCAAAATCAACTGAAATAAAGCACAACAGTGCATGGTCTGGCATTTCTGAGATTCTCCAGAGCTCCTCCGGGGAATGCGGCCCTCTTCAGCGCACGCATCTGAGAGTTTGAAACCAACACCAGTTGGGTTGAGGTAAAAGGCCTGCTGCAAACAGCTGGGGGTGGGAGAAGCAAGGCCTGCAGTGAGCAAAGCTACACTGCTCATCACACACAGTTTGACGCCTTCCACGTGTTTTTAACCAGCACACAGCAAATCTCTGTGGCCAGGGAACAGCAGGCCAGACCAACCATCCCAGCACAAATAGGCAGAAACGAGGGAGGCTGAAGGCTGCAGCACCGCCCAGTCCAGGAGGCACCCCTGGGGAGAAGAGGCCAGAGTGTGCCAGGAAGACACCAGAGTTACTCTCCTTGTTATTGCCTTGGGCCCTCTGTTTCATAGCTATGCAGTATTTCTCTTAAAATACAATCGAAAACAGCACATGCATCAAGTTATTCTGATTTACAGCACACAGCATTACCAGGACGTCTTCTCTGAATTGTTACACTTTATTTTGTCTTTTTATTCTAAGAACGGCTGAAACAACAGCACTAGTTTTGGTGCTGAAGTAACTCCCTTTAGGGAATCTAAATAAACATTTATCCCCTCCATTGCCACCACTGCTGTTTCTGAAGTTTAGAAAATGGATCACGGTCTCTCAACACACTCCCACAGTCTACAGACCTTTAAGATGACTTACTGACTGCCACGCAACACATCTTTCCAAAGCTGCATTCTGGAAGCGCAAATCAAGAGAGCTGTCAATGCAGGCTACTCACAAACCACAAGCACAGCTTCATTTGTAAACAGTAATTTGTCAGATAACAAAAAATCAGATCATAGTAGTTAATGAACATAACGTCATGCTATGGCAAGGTATTAATGACCTGAGTAGCACTTACTTCTGTGTGTGTACAATAAGTACTACTACATATCTGTACAACGAGAAAAGCCAAGGGAACACACATACCTCCTCAAGCATAATCCCTTACTGTCTCAAAGGATGACCACTGGGAAGGCCTTTGAACAAAATCCAGAATAAAATCACAGTCTCATGAACTATGCTGTATATAATTTTTGCTAATATAATGAATCACCTGACAATCTGTTTTCATTCGATATACATGCACTATCCACTAAGGAAGCACCACGTACACACAGTTGAAGGGATCAAAATAAACCTTAAAGCTCTTATATTTAACAAAATGTTGACTCCCAACTTTGAATATTGCTTTTAAACCAATAATTACACTATGGGAAAAAGCACTAAGAGAAATGGCAACAGTGTGCCCACCTTAAATTAGGATTCATCGACTTTTCTTCTATAAACAAAATTTACCATTTAAAATTTCAGATCAGAATCCCTATAAAAACAAACACAAGGCTGAATTTTCCTATTTGGAGTCTATTACATCTGTATTTACTTCATTTCTGTAAAAATATGGAAAGCAAATTTTTCAACTTGGAGTAAATTATGTAGTTACAATGAACTCAGATTAACGCAACATTGATGAAAAGCAAGGCAAAACAGCTATGGAATGGATGAATAAACTCTTCCATTTACCTGAAAGACCTCGAGGCACAATGTATGAACAACTCCTATGCTATTTACTTAATGACAACTTCACATTATTTTATAAAGAATCCACATTCTGTGGCAGAAAACCAGTGACACATGAGTAACACATGAGTGTTTACTTGCCAACATGTGTTGCTATCATCTGAATTGTAAACATTACCTTAACTTTCTTGAATATTGGCGATGCTACACTGGTGCTACATCTATCTGCACACTGTTCATTCTGATGTTTCAAGCAAACGATCTCAATTTTTTAACAGAAGTTGTTCATACAAAGCATAGTTCTTTACAACAAATTTGAACTGTTTACATAAGAATTCATGCCTGCAGAAAAAATAAGATAGTTGTGCAACTGTCTGTAGCCCTACTTCAAATCATTTTTGCAGAGCTATTTCCTCTTTATTTTGATGTGTCTACAAATCCTGCACTGAGGCAGAAATGATTCCAGCACTCAAAACAAAATATTTTATTATCTTACAAAGAGAACACAATTTCTCTCTTTCTCCCGCCGCCCCCCCCCCCCAAAGCACACAATTACTTAGCTAGAAGAGACCCTGGGACCTCCAGGCTCTGGGTCAATGAGCCCAGCGCCCACCATGGCGCAATTGCCTCTCCCTGCGTCCAGCGCGGCTGCCAGCCCTCCTACACTAGACAGATCTGGGATCCGCACACACGACATCCCACACCAGCCCAGCTTCCTGGGTCCGAGCTCTGGCACACAGCAGGTGCCCTCACTAGCTCTGCCAGGCGCACTGACCTGAAGCTGCATCTACTCAAGGCCAGAAGACCTGCCCAGGCCCCATCGCTGACTACCCCCAGGTCAGGTCCCCACCCGCCTCAAGATGCAGTAAAGATCCCCACCTGCACGGGGCCACAGGCAGGGCGACCCGCGGGTCCCGTCCCACCCGCATCGCAGTCTTCCGCACCGGCAGCGGTGGGGGCGTGGAGCGGGACGGGGGCGGTGCGGGGAGCCGTGACAGCGGAACAGGGGTGTCCTGGCGGTCGTCCCCACCCGTGTCCCCCGCCCCCGCCCCGCGCGGGAGGAAGCGCAGGGCTCCACGCGCTCCGCGCTCCCGCGAGTCCGGTGCGGGCCTCTTAGCAAGGGATCCGGGCTTAGGCTCGCGATCGCCGATGGGGGACCGCGGACGGACGGGGGAGGGGGTGCGAGGCGCCACCGCCACAACACGGTACCGGTGGCTTTCGGAGCCATAAATCAGCTCCTCCGCAACGGAGGCCCCGCCGCCGGGCCGCCCACTTCCTATTCCTGTCCCCGCTGTCCCCGCGCTACCCGCCGCCCCCAGGGTCCCCACCCGCACCCGGCCCGGCCAATGCGTGCGGACGACCCAGAGCAGCTCCCTGCGGCTCACCTTTCACCACTCGGTCGGTCGTCGACAACTTGGGGTCGCTGGCCTTGGGCTCGGACATCGCCGCCCCGGCCCGGCCGCGGGGCCCCGAGCCGTCCGCGCCGCGCGAGAGCCGAGCTGCGCTGGATCCGCGGGGGCGGCGCGCGCCCGACCCGCTCCGCCTCGCCGGGACGCACCGCGCGCGCTCCCGCCGGGCCGGTCACATGGGCGGCGGGCGCCCGAGGCCGCCGTGTCAGCGCCGAGCCGCCGTCGCCGCACCGAGCGCGAACTGCTGGGTCCGCACGCCGCGCTGCCGTGCCCGCTCCGCTTGCTCGCCGCTCCTCAGTCAGACAGGCGCGGCCGCGAGCCCTGAGACACCGTCCCACGCGGCCCGCCCTCCGCCTCCGCCTCAGTCGCCCCCGCCACCCCGTCCCCGCCTCCGCCTCCCCGGCCGCCCCGGCGCCCGCCCCCGCCTCCTCTTCGTCGCCTCCTGCCTCAAAGGGGCCGCCAGCACCTCCCGCGCCCCGCCTCGACGGCGCAGTCCCGCACGCCTATTGGTCAGAGCTTGCGGCTTTCCTGTCATGTCCCGCCTCCGCTCTCGGGCAGCCTCCGCCTCCTCATGATCCGGCTCTCTCTTTCCCTCCGCCCCGCCCGGCGACGGAGTTTCGTGCAACTATTGGTCCGCTTGCGCGTCCTTCACAGCCAAGTCCCGCCTACGCTGTCGGGCAGCCTCCGCCTCTCCCTCCTCTCCCCGCCCCTACATCGAAGTTCCATGCGTGTATTGCTCAGAAAGCACGTCGCTCCTGTAGGGTCCCGCCCCCGCCCCAGGAGCCTCCACCTTTCTCCGGGCCCGCCTACGCCCCGCCCCGCCGTCCGTGCTCGCGCGCTCATTGGTTGAGGCGCACGTTCTTCACCGCCGAGTCCTGCTCCCGGCCTACGGCTCTTTCCCCACGGAAACGTCCCTGTTGCCAGCGGGACAGGCTTTTCCTGCCACGGCTGTCCGGGCCCGCCTCGGGGTAACCACCAAGGGCGACCATGGGGTGACTGTAGGGGGTCCGGCAAGGGGCGCCTTAGCTAGTCTCTGCGGCTACGTCTGCCGCCTCGGGCCCTGCCTAGGATTAGCGGTTCTGAGCAAGTGTGACGTGGGGTGGGGACCCAGGCTGCCCTGCCCTGTGGCTGGGTTTCTGCGCCCCCTGACCTCAGGCTTGCCCCTGTTCTTATCCCTGACCCCGGTGGGACGCTTCGCCCCCCTTGGGCCTGCCTTCTGAAGGCTCGGGCTCCCGAAGCGGAGCCAGGAGGTCTGTTCCGAAGACAGGGCCCGAATAAAGCCGAACTCAGAAGCTGAGTGTCCCGAGGGTCTGAGGGCCCCAGGGCGAGGACGGGCAGCCCCTCAGAGGCTGCTGGAGACCACCCTTCGCTCCTGAGGACCCGGTAGGCAGTCCCCACGGGCAGCGATCTCCGGGCTCCGTCTGTGTGGCAGACATGCAGACATCGTGGCCAGTGTATGAGGCGGGATGCTTGTAGACCACAGTGGACTTGCCCTGCTCCAGGCCCGGCCCCCAGGGGCGCAGCCTGGAGCGAGGTCCTAGATCCACCCTGAAGGAGCTGCGGCGAGGGCTGCTGGGCACAGCAGAGCTGGCACTCAGGCAGCTGTGAGGAGTTGGTCCCTGGCCAGTTGGCACCCCGAGAGGGAGAAGTGCCAAGACCTGTGGAGAGGAGGGCTGGCTTTGGGAAAAAGGGAGAAAACAAGTCCAGGAAGCTCCCGTGTAAGACTGACACCCACGCGTTCCTGTTGTTTGGACACATTTTTCACTACTTTGAGAAAAAAAAAAACACCTTTGAACCTAGAGCCAAAGGCTTCGAATGTCCGAATGTCCACAACATGGAAAAGTTTTACAAGAGAGATAGGAAGTAAAGGCACATCCCTCGGGCACAATCTTCGGTCTACTACAAGTCCAGGACACCTCCTAGCTGAGGTATGCATGGGAAACAAAGTTATGAGTCATAATCATTTCACAACACATCTTAATCACCTAGTGGGCTGAATGTGGGGGTGTGGTTCCATAGCTGAACCCCTCTCTAAGGAAAGCTAGACAGCAGCATAATACATGGGACCAGCTATGCCTGTACACACCTGGCCTGCTGATTTAACAGCCAGGTCATGTGTTACCCAGTTGTTCACTCACATGTGCAGCTACCTGCCCCTGCCCTTGTCTATCTTATTAGGCCTTCCCTGCCGTTTTTGATTACATTCCCACTTGCAATCATTTCGCATTTGGAATTTATGTTTTCAAGAACTTAGTCCAGTTTCCCAGAGCTAATTTTGGAAATACCCTCTGCTTATGAAGAAAAACGAAGGGGTGGGGAAGGTGGACAGCACAACATTTTGTCTACTGAAAGAAATGTGCTTTTCGTTCTGCAGTATAGTTCCTTCTGGGAAGTATTCGTCCAGCTAGAAATTCCATTTCCAGGCCTGATCCTGGGTCCAGAGACTGGCTCTTGTGTTGACCAGGCTGAGGCTGCTGTTCTGTCACTTGTTAACCTAGGCGTACACACTGAGGGCATGACCCCTAGTGACACGGAGGCCATCCTCTGGGGATAGCTGAGCCCCTCGATTACCAGAGAGAGGAATAATGCGTTAGACTTCACCTAAGAAAGAAATCATCTATTGTGTTGCTCTATGACGATCTGAAGATATGTTTGTTAGGGTAATGATTTTATTCCAGAAATAAAATCCCTAGTAAAATACAGAAGTGTCATGTAACTGTTACGTAAGAGAACCACCAGAAGACTAGAAACATTATGGCTCTTAAAACATGAGCTCTAGCCAGGGATTTAGCTCAGCAGCATAAGCACTTGCCTGGTAAGTGTGAAGCTGTGAGTTCAATCCTCCATACCAGACACATGAGCTCTACATTGTAAATTTCTTGTGTATGAATTATTCATTTGCTAGTTGTGTTTTGAAGAATAATGCACAAGTGTGTAGAATAAAGAAGTATTCCATGACTTACTTCATTTAAGGCTCTCAAAGTCTTGTTATATACAAACTGTCTTTGCAAACATTGACATACAAGGTTGGAGAGCACTAACATGCTACAGCTTCATCAGAACCAATAAAGAAAGTAAATATGGCCCAGCTATGGTAGATTTGGAGTCATGTGTAAATACCACAGTGGACTTCCATTAGTGTAAGTCATCCTAAAGGGAGACATTTTTGTTTAAGTGTTCTGTTGTATCAGAAGCATTTAGAAAAGAGAAAGAAATTAAGGTTTATGTCGCATTTAGAGGATAACCTGACTTTTCTGCAGCTCTTGGATGAAATTACCATCCATTTGGACTCTAAGCACTGAATACTGGCTTCTGATCATGCCCTACTGAGGCCTGCTGTCCTTCACAGCTGCTGGTGGGTGGCAAGGAGTCTGACCTATTCCATGTTGGCGTTGGGGGCATACTCTGCAGAAGAACCCTGGAAGCACCCAGTCCTGGTAGGGCATGGATTACCATAGAGTTAATTCCAACCATATTCCTTCTAGTGTCAACCTCTGTTTTGCACATGATAGAGACTCTGGGAAATACACTACTTTCCATGGATTTTATTTGAGGTTCAAATTAAAAGGGCTTTTTATTTGGATTTCTTTTAAAATGTTAGGAGCCTTATTTTTTCAAGAGGCAGTTTTTTACATTTTTATGTTACTTCTGAAAGAACATCCGAACATTTTTATACCATGTATATTCAGGAATATCATTTTCCTGATCAATGATTAAGGTATAACTGATGGAATTATTTGCCAAGTTTAATTGGAGAAGTACAGTTTCCATAAAATTTGCAAGAATATCTGTGACTACTATTCATTTAGACTGAATAAACAAATATGTATTTGTTTTATTTATATCTGTATTTTCATTTCATATCCAAGTTCTGGGTACTTGAATATGAGATGAAATGTGGATGTGCAACTAATTTTGCCAAGTGAGATTAAAATGTTTCAGCATTCACCACTGTGCAAGGTGTTTGCTGGCTTGGTGTTTACTGTCACAGACAGTTCACTATCACCAAAAAAGAAAAAAAAAAATTAAAATTACACACAGCCTGGGAAGTCATGATTTCTTTCTCCTAGATACTTTGGATTTTAATTTCATCCCTGACTTTGAAATTTTAAATAATTGTGCCAAAACAGACATGTTTACATTAAAAATAGCTACATGTGTGTTGTACATATACGACAGTGAGCAGTCTTAAGAAGTACATATGCTGTAAAAATTTTTTGAACTTTTGGTTCTAAACTCAAAACTTAAGAATATTTCACCTAAAATTAAATGAAGTCAACATTTGCAATGCTTTGAGGATATGTCAACAGTAGCAGCAAAAAATAATTAATCTGTAGTGACCTGGTAAATAAATTTAAGAGAAAGTTAGTTGGGACGTTTATATATACATAATCAGTATAACAATTAGAATCAAGTTTTACCCATTAGAGTTGGCAGAGACTGGCTTTTACTGGAAGCAGAGTGCCCACTACTGATTAAAAATTTGTGAATTAGCAAGTGAATATTCGTTTACATGAATCTTGCACTAGGACTAGCTATTGCTTCATTTCCTCTTGTTAATAGTTTTGTTTGACTAATATTCATGGCTAGTGGAAGCTATATACTCAGTAGTTATTTATTGAATAACTATAGATCGGGCACTTGGAATATAAAATAAACAAACCAAACTCTTTGCTCTTGTGATACTTAAGTTCCAATGGAAACAGTTAAAAACAATTACAAGGTAGCCATGGTCTCTTCTACTCATACCCATAATCTCTTCTACTCAGGAGGCTGAGGCAGAACACCAAGCTCATGGCCAGAAGGGCGATGTAAACCTTGTCTTAAAAAAATTTTTTAAAGGGTTGGGGATATAGCTCAGTGGTAGAGCACTTGCCCAGCTTATGTGAGGCTCTAAGTGTAATCCCCAGTAACAGAACAAAAGTTACACAGTACACACATGATGCTATGTAATGAGCAAACAAGTCACAATGGTGAAGGACCTGAAAAAATATGGGAGACATTGCTTGCTGTTGCAGATATATTATACAGGATAGAACTCTTTAGTAATGGTGTTTGAACAGATCCTATCAAAAAGAGGTGGAGATGTCTGTGCAGCCTCATGGAAGAGTAATCCAGGTAAAAGGAACTGCAGGTGCAGAGGCCCTAAAGCAAGGGTGAGGAAAGAGCATTTTTACCAGCTGTGAAAGGAAGCCAGTGTCGTGAATGAGTTCCAAAGAGTAGGACATGTACAGTCAGGGAGATCCTGTACAGCCAAGTGATACAGCGCCATGTCGACTGCAGGAAAGGTTCTGAATTTTACTGTGGGTGGAACAAGGGAGTTTATTCAGAAAGAGAAATAACTAGCTTAGTAAAACTCATACCTTTGGTTAAAATTGACTGTGGATGTAGTCCTGGAGAAAAAGAAGGGTAGAAATGGAAAAACAAGAAACTTGTCAACATCCAAGCTAGAAATAGGATTTTGAAGGAAATCACGAGAACTCATAATGGAGAGCTTTTAAATTTGACTTAAAAAGATGTGCTGATGGGATGGATATAAGATGTAAGAAAACTAAAAAGAGGAATTAAGCAAAACTCTTGAGTTATTTGGGTCTAAGAAAATGGCAAATAGAATTTACCATCCACTAAGAAAGGGAATATTGGAAGCAGACAGCATGACATTGTGGGGAAGATCTAAACTTACATATGTTACTTTAAGATGCATCTTATGTCCAAGGATGTGGAGATGCCATATACACCACTGGACACAGGAACCTGGACTTGGAAAGAGAGGGCTCCTCCATACTGGGTGCCTGGTTGGAAGCCATCAGCACAGTAGAGCTTGACAAGATAGAGGAGAGGAAGGAAAGAAGGGAACCGCACACTTGCCACAGGAACAGCTTCTGGCAAATGAAGCCAGTTGGGTTGGTGTGTGGAGAGGTGGGGTAGAATGACAACCGAGAGTTGATAACTGCTTTGACTAAGAGGATTATTGGTGATCTGGACTAAGCAGTCCTGTAAACCCACCTCAAATAGCATCGCATCCTTCTCTGCCTCTGTATTGACTCAGTTCCATTTTAGCATTTTACACCTGTTGACACTGTGTGTGCACATTATGTGTATGATATTTGTCTGTCTTCTCTCAAGTAAATAAAGAGGTACCTCGAGAATAGGCACTCCATCTTTCTTGTTCCCAAATAAATCTCTTACAGCATGCCCAGCAAACACTGTGAATAAATGCTTGTTGGAAAAGCAAATATTCTATTACTATGTTGTACTGTTTTTTCTTATTTTCCCTATAGTCAAAATAGACATTTCCAAGTATTTGTAGGAAAAATGAAATTTCCTGTTCAGGTCTCATAAAGCTACAAAATCAGTGTTCAAAGGTAAAAAAAGTTGATATGGGCCCTCAAGATGAGAAATGCAATGGGAATTCAGGAGGTTACTTTTAGCATGAGGTGTGTCTCTCCCAGTAAGAATAATTACTTGTGTACATCCAAGGGAGGGCAGAGTATTACTCATATTTCCTCTTTCTTCAGATGCACACAGTTCTATTGTTTGTAACATCTAAGACTATTCCCTGGTGATAAGCCAGACATCAGCAGTTTTGAGGGAGGAAGTGAACAAAATTTGTGTTGTGCTTTGGAACATCGCCTCAAGAGTTTCTGTCTTGAAGGGAGTCCCTAATGCCCACCCCAAAGAAATAGCATTAGTTGGGGAAATTGTCCTGCATGTACTGTAGGTACTTGTCTTCCCAGCTGTCCTATTGCAGCTAGAATGCCCAGCCACCTTCTCCACCCAATGAGTGATTGTAAGTCACAGGCTCAACCACTGCCTTTCTGGGAGTAGACCAGGGAAACCTAAGGTCCAGCAACCTTGAAGTGGCCTGGCAGAATCTGCCAAAGTGAGGTAAGTGAATCAGATGCCTTCCAGGAAGAACTTGACCTTAAAATTCCCAGAAGGCTGGAATGAGATGTTTTGCAGACTGGGATTAAGTGGGCCAGCAGCAGCAGCTTTATGAGCAAATCATACAGACAGATAATCCCATTCTGGACGCAGAGGCCACAGCTGAGCTAAAAACTCCAACATCTATGTGCCTTTCCTTATTCTTGTTGGCCATGGTCAGTTTGGTCTTACTTTGGGTTTGGTTTTCCTTTTGTTTTTCCTAAGGCCTGGCTGTTTAAGTTTCACCTGGATATATAAAAACCCTTAATATCCTCACAGCAGGAGCTTTGTGTTTTATGTTCCTACTAAGTCTCCCATCAAAAATCAAATGGAAAACAAGGGCAGCTAAGATGTTTGCCCCATTCCCTCTGTAGGTTTTTAGAGTTGACACCTTCTGATCCTGGTGCATATGAAAATCCTTTTCTCCATTCAGGAATAGCTATACACTAAAACCTTGGGTTTTGAGTAACTTATTCTGCAAGTAATCTGCAAGAAAACAAATATTTGAAATACATTTTAACTTGATAAGCAAGAGATGTCTTGCAAAATGAGTAGTGTATGATGCCAAACATCACAAGTGAGCCAATGATCCCCCCTCCCACTGACCCTCTCTGTCTCTGCAGATTCGTGGGATATCTTCTCCCAACTGCAAGAGGTTACAGAGGAGATCTCATCTGCAGAGGAGAAGTAAAAGGCAGAGGAATCCTTCTCTTCAAATCAGGTCAGAGAGGTGTGTCTAACAGTGCAAAATTTTATAGAAAACACCACCCAATTAAGATTATAGCAGGGTGAGTGAAAAATCTGTTTAACTATAATGTAATGTCACGTTTCTGCAAAATCCTTAAAAGAAGGTAAAAGCAAATATCATTGGGACCACTCTATGTTAAAGTTCAATGAAAAAAGATTCTACTGAGCTAGTAGGTAGGAGTGATTCCTGACAGTGAAAGTCTTTCTACACAATAACCCTCCTCTCTCTTGTCTCTCTCACACCAACCATGAAGGTAAGTAAGTACAGGCTAGTTTGTTTCATTTTCTTTATATTTTATATTTTCTTTAATATTTTGTATTATGTCACAGTATTTTAATCATTTTATATGAATATTTTTGATTCTATGGACCCAGTCATCCAAGTTCCCATTATTTCTTATGGGGAAATTTGCTTTGATACACAAGTGCTTTGGATTATAAGCACATTTCAGAAATCAATTATGCTTTAAACCAAGGTTGTACTGTATTCTCTAGATATACTTGCCCATCCTAGCAGCCATTATAACAAAGCCAGTGCCAAAAATAAAAAGGGCAAATCACTATAGACATAGAAAGAGAAAAACAGAGGATCAACTGATTAAGGAGTCTGGCGAAGTTTGGGAGCTCTTCACTAAATATTCTGCATGCCAGTGTGCATGTCCTGTTGGAGGCTTTAGACTGCACTGCACTGCAGATGAAAATCTCAGTTGCTTCAGTGAAGTCTGCACTCCTCTGCAGATCTCAGCAGCCCTCAATGCTCCCTCTGAGTGCTGACTCAGCATCACAGCAGCCTGCAATCAGCACAGACATCCACAGGTGCCTCAGGGGCACCCAGCAGGAACAAGAGGATTAGTGAGGTGGCCTGGCCACTGCCACACTCACAATCAGTGTGCCTAACTCATCCTTTGACTATGCTTAATTTCAAGGAGGTCCATGGTGTCTGATCATCCCACAAGTCCACATTTGGAGAAAAGCCAAGTGTTTTTAAAGGGTCACCACCAATCGGAACTTCTAAACCACCCCTCAAGCCCTGGGCCTCCAGGCTGCTCTGTGATACCAACAGTGGTGATCTATCTTATTTCCATTTCACCGCCCAGATAGGGCTGCAGTGACTGTGACTCCACTCTGCTTCTTGAATGAAGCTCCTGTCCTGGCCACTGATGGTATAAAATAAATACACTCATCCACTTGGATGGCACTGGTATCCCTACAGCTCCTCGGGCCCATAACCCAGCACCAGATTCCTGGTGTCAAAAGTATGATTTCCAGGTCCCTTGCAGGCCAGACATGGTTCCCTCTCCTTCTCAGTACCTAGAGCTCCATCATTGGTGCTGTTGGACCAGTAACTGACAATAATTAGTGTGACAAACTGGGTTGGGAAAGCACACTCTGTCAATGTGCCTTAGCTAAAAGTAAAAGCATGAAGCCCTTCGTAATTGTGAAGGTAATAAGAAGCCTATCTGCAAATACAAATATATGTTAATGCATGTAAATATATACACATAGTATGTATGACTAGAGCTTATGAATCCAATCTTTTATTAAAAAATTAATGACTAATAATATGCAAACTCATTCTATTGTATGAGTACCACACATTTCTGAAAATGTCTGTCATATTTGGGCACTGTTCTGACACAGCAAAATTTATTTTTTCTCTTCTCACTTTGTAGGAACTATAGCATGATGGCCAGTCTCCTGTGTCAGCTTGGCTCGGCCATTCACCCACTGTGTGATCACTCCCTCTTCAGGGTGTTGCTGTGAGGGTAGTCTGTACATGTATGTAGCTGATACCTAAGATCAGTTTAAGGTCAGGGGTCACCCTCAGTGTGCGTGGGCTGCACCCAATCATTGACAGGATACTACAGCCCCAGTGCACACCTATGCTGAGCCTACAATCATGCAATAGCTCCCCAAACCAGTTACACACACATGCATGGAAGGCATGTGTAGACACACACACACAATCACGTCACATATGCATGAAAAGACTAAGTTCCTATTTTAATTCTCCAAGATAAAAATTTCTTTTGCTCTCCTCACTCATGAACAGTAAGAATTTCTCTTCTCTAAACACATCTTCTTTCCTGGTAATCACAGTGGGTTGTCAGGTATCTAAGCTATGATCACTCCATGTAGACCATGAGATGAAGAGTCATACAAAACGTGATGCAGGAAAGAATTTTCCACAGAAAAGCCAGAAGAGAAGTAAGAAAAGTGATGGAGAAGAGGATGAAGCCGCATGTGGGCAAGATGTCAGTGCAGACCCAATCCTCCACATTGGAGGGGCTCTGTCCTGGGGCCTCTGAGAGCTGTTCTCATCCAGCCCGGGGGGTTCATGTTGCTCCCCAAGCATGTCGGCTCTCTGCACATTTCGGGCCATGCCTCAAAGTCTGAGGATGATGCCCTGGCAGGGGCCCAGGTTAGAGCACCCAGGAGTGGTTGTGCATGGAAATATACATGGCCCGGAGAAACTTCTGGGAGAGCAGAACCGACCACCTTTTACAAGGGATAAAGTAGAAATTATGTGTCTGTTCCTCCATTGTCAGTGCATGTGCAGAGGGCCTTACTCTTTCTAACCCTCACACAATGTTCCTTTATTGCCTGAAATTCTCAATTCACAACCGAGGGGAAAATGAAATATTACTTTGTTCTAAGACAGGAAATACATGGACTCCACTCAGAACCAAGACCTGTCCTCAGTGTGTGACTGTCCAGGCAGCCTCAGAAGGGATCAGGTGAATGTGGAGAGTGGATCCTGCTTAGACGACTCCTTGGCCAGACTCAGTCATGCAATCAACACAGCACTGTCCCAAAGCACTCCATGGACCACCTTCCTCAGCAGGTTCCTTTCTTCAGAAAGTTGAACTCAACCTTTTCTGGAAGATGGCCGAAGTGCTTCTAAGGTCAAGTGTACACATTTTTGGCTCATCCTTCCCTGGGGTTAAACCTCGACCCCCTGAGAGCCATAGCACTGTCCCCTGAGAAGAATGCTTTCAGCACAGGAGACTCTAGCATCAAACCGTGTTCACTTCTTAGCAGTAAAACATCCCAGAATTAGGGGAGGGAGGGTCTAAGAGGATTCAGAGGGATCATAGAGTAGGAAAAACACTGAGTGTGTCACAGTTGTGGATACCTGACATTATACATATGTCCCAATCTATAGATCACACGGTACCAGAAGTAGCGAATATAACAATGCATTGGGCCAATGATGATGTCCTGGTGTCTTCCAGCACCTGTGGAAGATGTGGTTCACATGAGAGGCTCTGCATGCATGGGGCCAAGGCTGTGTGGAATAACTCCATGCATTCTTGAGTTGTCATGAACCTGCTCATCACAGTAAAACAATCACAGCAATAATAACAAAAGCCTAAGAGCAGCAAATATTTCCTGCTGTAACTTGCTGGGAGCAACTCAGGTGGAGACCAGGGAAAGTCTCAGCTCCAGGAGTGCAGCTGAAAGAGTTGTCATCCAGGAGAGGACTGGGGACACATGCAGCCTTTAGAGGTGACTCCGTGGGAATACTACAGAGGGCAAGGCTCCAGATTTTTGATGTTCATCC